GTGCTATACAAACTAGAGATTAGACATCTGTCAAATTTAGACCTTGTTCACGACCGTTGTACCGTACATATCTCCTGTCACCATTATTGTCCTCTGTGAGCCTATATGCATGTGCCTTTTTGTCTCTATATACCCATAGAATTCGGGGTATTTAACGCTATGCATCCCAAAGTTTTATTTAGCTAAACGACGAGGGAATAAAAGGTATGAGAAATAGATAAAACATATTCTTTTTCCCTTCTCTTTTCGCTCTCTTAGCACACATGGTCCTATGAGCCATCTAAACAACAATTCTCAAAGTCGATACGGTATTTCTCTTCCATCACGCTTCCACGTTCCTCCCCCACCTCCAGTAATTGTTTTAGAGGCCTACGCTTGGACTGCAGGGTCGTCCACTTAATCTTCGGCTGTTTCAAGGGGAGCCGCAGGTTCCAATTCCACTGCTGCCGTTTCTACCTTTTCGGTCGATGCTTCAGCTTCACCAGCCACCTCTGTCGTCTCTTTTTTATCTGATTCTCCAGCCTCAGCGGACTTCTCCCCTGACCCATGAACGCCGTTCGTCTCGGGTACAGAATCACCGTTGACAGGTTTTCCGCCGTCGACTTTAGCTTCGCTTTGCTCGATGATGACTTGCCACTGTCATGTCAGCGAAGAACAGTGAAGAGCAATGAGATGCGGAGGAAACAAATGAAAAGACAGCAGGAAAGGATATATTGTGACTGACCCCGTTCATAAGTTTCTGAGCTCGTTCGGTGATTTTCAGTTCGTCATTTCTCGGAATACTACGAAGAGCAGCGATTTTCTTCATCACTGCCAGTTCAGCTCAGTGCAATTAGGCTAATTGGAGTGAGGAGCAAAGTGGTAATACACCACTCACCCTTGCCAATCTTGGAATATTGCAAAGCTGTTATTGTCATGCCCTCATATTTCTCAATCTCATTGAATATCTTGTCGTATTGGTCCATTTCCTATCGGTCAGCTGCACCATTCCAAACAACAGACTTTTCAAAGTGTGACGATATCACTCACCGATGCTTGGGGCAATTCTTTACCCAAAAACGCCCTCTGACACATATGTCTCCAATGTTTGACTTTGGCACATTCCGGATCTGACGACAGGGGGTCTGCTATAAGTCAGAAAACAGATGATCGTGAGATGAGTTCGACTGACCATCATCCGCAGCGGGTTGTGCGACAGGTTTGACTTCAACTTTGAGTTGCTCAGCCTTTTTTGATTTTTTTGGTTCTGGAGCTTCTTTCGTCTTCACGTCAGCTCTTGGCGTTCATCATTTACCAGCCAACTCGCCTTTCCAGTCTTCGCCCTCTTTTTTGTAACCTTCTTTTCTCCTGCACCACGTTTCCTTTTTCCACCAGACTCCGCAACTTCTTCCTCTTCCAGCTGGTCAACTTCACCTTCCGCCTCGGCCTCTTCCTCCTCCCGAGCACGGATGGCCGCTTGTTGAGCCTCGTCCCATTCCGTAGGATCCTGAGCTGTCAAGTAGGCGTCTTGCAAATTACCTTTACCTTTACGGTGGGTTTCTGCGAGCCAAGCGGTGATCTCTTCCGCTGAGAGGGGTCGAATTACATTAGCATGTAACCATGCGCTGAGAGTCAGTGAAGAGACACCTTGACAGAGTTTTGGGATGCGGATAAGAATAATAAACTCACTAATCGCCCTGAGTGAAAAATTGCACACAGTAGGTCGATGGATTGGTTGAAGGGCGGATCTTTTGAATATGATTGGGTACATCATTGGGGTCGGTGATCTCATAGCTCAGCTTTATGAAACATACGTTTCCGGACGGCTTACCCTGCCAGCTGTTATTGTTAGCCCATTTTCATACTTCCGATAAAAGCCAAGGCTGCTGAGAAAGGCATAGATTCTTGAACTGCGAGTCGGAAAGTGAACGGAAGAAGTGGACAAGTTTTTAAACGACAGGGGAATACTCACGCCAAAAAGGAAAACCTTTCAGTCTCGCCAAAACAATATCTCCATAGCTATAACTTGTCTTATCCGATGGTGGCGGTTTGGTCTCCACCTTTTTCGCACCAGAAGAAGGACGACCCCTCTTCCCTGGGACTTTGGTCGAAGAAGTCGGTTTGGAGACAGGTGGCTGGGCGTCCACAGCCATGGGCTCGGCTTCTTCAGACATGATGACAGATACTCTGTATATCAGTACCCTCCTTCTGAAACTTCCAATGAGTCAAGTAAGAAGTATCCAACATACACGAAAAAGGTGAAGCTAGCAACAAAGTCGCGATTGGAAAATCGACTCGGTGACCTGAAGAGCGCGTCTTGACTACCGAGCTGTGAGCGGCTTGCGAGTCCACCTGTGTACATCAGCACCTTCAGGTTGTCTATAAGGTTCGTGAGAGGCGTTGACGTACAGGTAGTAGTGAATATACAGATGAGATATGGTGGTTTTGTATAGATGAAGGATGGTGAAATGGGTGCAAAACAGTTGACCGGACGATCTGTCCGGGACGCAAAGGTGGAACGGTGTTTCGGGTTTATAAGTGATGCGGGGTTGTGGCGGGGTCACATCTCCCTTCTACTGGCTCTGTCGACTTGCTCATGACGTTCTTGCTTGTCCTATGACATTGTGACACAATGAAAAGGTCAACCACCGCTATCGTCGGTCTCGTATTGATAGGATCAACATCAGCATTCAGAGATACTTCTCCTATCCTCATCTGGTCCTCCTCCCCGTGAGTGTGCCACTCAAGCTTTCTCCACCAGTCCTCATTCCTCCTCGTGTGGGCCGCAGTATCCGTTCGATCGACAACTTGCATTGCTGACTCATAGTAATGCAGCTCTGAGAGAAGCAGCGTCAGAGATAACGACCGGTGTGATATCTGCCGATGCTATCTACTCTTCACTGTCGTCCCTCGGTTGCGACTGGAATACGATTGTCTCTGTCCAAGTAGAAGATGTGAGTCATTCCTTCTTGCGCACCCACCCTCCTTACATCTCATATGTGCCTTCCACTCTAGCCCTCCGTTCATGTCGTCGTCAACTCGTGTATCCTCTCGCTGTGACTATCTCTCACCAGGACTCTTCTGACACTCTCAAACTCCGCTTATACCACCCCTCTTCCTAAGCCTTGATCTGCACTGCTCCTCCTCTCCCCACTCCAACCTACGTAGCGCTGTCTATAGTATCTACTCCAGAGTTTTGAAGACAGGAAATGTGCTGATATCAAGCTACACCAATCTCACCTTTCTTCACTTCCCCTCCCCGCTTCTCCAGACCTTCATGTCCCTTACCTCGTCCGACCCTCCCGATCTTCTCTGGATGCCTCACTTGAAGAATGGGCCTTAGTCTGCGGGGCATCCACTTCTGCCTCCTCGACCGACCAAAAAAGACTGTTACAGTATTCTTCTTCTCGCTCAGGTCAGTACTACATGACCCAATATCACTAAAGCTGACATATAGATCTGGAAAAGACCATCACTTCTCTACCTACATACGACCTCTTCATCTTATCCGGCACTCGAACGCTCAGTGACCTTCCTGATTTCACAAATCAAGACGCTACACGTTTGAGGGAAGAATTAAAAAGACAAGAACAACCTTTCCCCTCTGATTCCCCCTCCTCTCCAGAAGATCCGGACGACGAACCAAGTTCTACGCCCACAAGAAACTCTACCATCCCCACTGGTGGACCTTTACTGGACCGAGTGCAGATTATCACCACACCTATCATCTTAGGTCTCTTGATCAGTTTAGGGGTGTTGTTACCTATCCTCGTTGTTGGTATCAGTGCCTTGGCAGGTATTCAGGTACCTCCTCGTATGTTAGAGATTGGCAAAAGTCTCAGTGTCAGTCAAGAGAGAAAGGAGCAATGATGACGTGGTGATTGAATAAGAATATGCAAAAGGTGTAAATTACATTCATGTTGCACTGTGCGTATGCATGTTGGGATCATGAAGATTGCAAGGGGGAGAAGAACAGTGATGGAAGAAGGATGTGTCATTTTCGTATGAGAAGATAAACATTTTGACCGACAGTTATTCCTGTCAAATGTCTATATGGACCTCTGAGTGCCATTAAGAGACCACCGAAGGATATATAGGCCGTTCTGTCATCAGCAGGTCATACGACTGTCCAGCCAGAGCAATTCCCAATTGTTTCCTTCACTTGGCTTCGGCCAACATCCCAGCTTCGGGCAAGAAGGAGGAGGGAGGGACAGGGGTCGGAGTCGGAGAGAGAGGAACCGAGTAGTGAAAACACAACTTACGTATTGCCCTGAGCAGGTGTTGAATCGTCGTATTTGTATATCTGGCATGAGTTCCTCGTCCTGTCCCTGGGTTACGAGAAAGAGCAGACGTAGGGAGTAGGTCGGCGGAGATGAAGAAGGGAAGCGATGGTCAATGGGAAATGTCACATGACAAAGATACCATATCACACCTAGGTCGAAATAGAGGGGTAGCCACGGAGAAGGTTTGAAAACAAAGTGGATAGAGTAAGAAGAAGTAATACGAAGGGAGAGAGAAAACTAACTTTACCATACATGACATATTCATAATCATCTGCCAAACCTTGATCACCACCTCTCCATAATTCTCTTTTCACTTTTTTCCCACCACCACCACCACCATTTTCTTCCCCATCTAAATCCGCATCACCATCAATTTGTTCACCTTCACTCAATAATGATCTAGCTAAAGCTAATGTGAAAGTTTCTCTAGGATTTAAAGGATAAAGTTCATTCGCTATATCGAGTACTAAAGACATTCTTGAATTTTGAGATGTTGCTTCTATTCTTGATACTGTGTATATCAGTTTTTGACTATCTCACATTCTTCTCCGGGTGTTTATTGAAATCTTTGGATATGTTCCCCTTCCACAATGTCAATATATGATTGAACACTTCCATAGTATCATACTTCCTTCCATTCTTCAGTGGGGTTAGGACTTGTTGGGACTCGTTACATTGGTAGCTCTTTGGTTCTGTGAAATACTCAGATGGGTGTGTTCATGTGAAGGAAAGTCGAGAATGAACGTATATGATTGAATAATTAGGGAATTAAGAGGGAATGTGAAGTTGAACATACCTCTATCGAATTTCTTACCACCTTTATCTACTTCCTACTGTGGTCAGCTCCACATTATCTGGAGTAAGAAAGACAAGAAGGAATAAGGACAGAAAGAGAATAGAATGAGAACTTACATCCACAATGAACCGATCTTCGAATAAGATGTTATTGGTTTCTGCCATTTCGAATCCCAAAACTCTCCTGTCCTTTTTTTCGATTGGTTTCTCCAACTTTCTTCTTTTCTACGTGAAAATTATTTACTTCTGACTTCACACGCTCTTGCAGCTTCCACAGAGATCGACTTGCCTACAAGTTGTCGTTTGGCCGCTGTTACTGATTAACTTATTTGTTGTATGAATTGTCGTTTCACCTAAGTAATGAAACCTCAAAAAGTCCTAACTTTCATCAAAACCTATTTATTCCCTCCCTTTAAACCACCCATTTGCCACCATTTGCCAGTCTCAATCCACTCAACTATCCATCCTATCCTTTCATTCCGGTCTAGCCGGGGTGTTCATCTCCTTCTTCGTCCCTCTTTCTCAATCATACACCGACAGAAGTGATAAGAAAGAAGGTTTCAAATATTATACGATGCAAACTCCCGATCCTACATCCTCTCATCTCCTCTCCCTTCCCCCTCTTCTCTATCCCATATCTCCTTCCCTCGCTGCTCTTCATTTAGCAAGAGTCAGACTAACACTTTCTTTACCTCCTTCTTCTTACACTTCCGCATGGTGTGCTCAATGTGGAGGATTAAGATCAGGTACAAAGATGAAAAGAAGGTATTCAGAAGGAAATATGAATAGTCCTACTCCTATCTCATCCACTTCACTTGAACATTTTCAACCTACCAAATCACCCTCGCCGACGCCTCAAACCAAGAGAATACCACTAAACGAAGCAATTGTTGGATCATCCTTATGTATCTTACCCTCCAATCCCCTTGGTGGACTTTCTACTTCAACTTCGACCAATATCAACTCTTCTTCCCTCTCTCCTACCGTTAATATCACTACTTCCACATCTGCCGAGGAGAAGCCGCTGGACAATCGTATCAAATCTCGTGAGAAACACAGTATATCGAGTAACGTTGTGAGTCTCATCAATGTATCTTGTGTATAAATGCTAATTCCAGATCTCCCCTACCATCCAAACGACCACGCCTAAACGTCGAAGAGGTCAATGTGAAATATGCGGTCTATCCTACCGACCTAAAAAAGACCAAAAGACTCTTTTAGAATTCCCAAGTGCCAGGAAAGTCCATAGGACAAGATCTACCAGATCATCAACTCAATCGGAAATAGACGATGTATTCACTTCCTCACAATTAACTCCAAGCACAAGCAAGCCCCGCTCGAACGGTGTCACTTCCAACTCGATGAAACGTGTCGATGCTGTCATGCAGAATGAGAACGAAGAGAATGATGATGGAGTATCCAAAGAGGCTAGATATGTAGCGATGGATAATGGTAAGAGGAAATCTGAAAATCAAGAGGAAGGTAAAGTCCTAGGTGGAAATTCATTTGGAAATGAAGAAAATGGTGGAGAAGAAAAAGAAAAGAAACCTTCTCCTATCTCTGCACCGAGATTAAGATACATACCTTCTTCCGATCCTAACCCACCTACTTATCCCCATCCTGATCCACTTTCAAAAAGTTCGACTGGAGATAAAAGGGTAAAAGGAGAATCAGGAAGTATGAGCAGGAATGGAGGGAAGAAGAAGAAACGATCTGGTTTAACGAAATTATTGGCGGAGAGTAAAGCTAGGGAAGAGAACAGTTCTGGTAATTGGGGATTTGGATAGGGTTCAGAAAACGATGTTTCATACTTCATACGTTGACTCTTCATTCGTTTACAGACTGATTTGCGTTTATCTCGCGACGGTGGAGGAGGATGGAGAGGATAGGGTCAATCACACGGGAGTCAATCTAAGAAATATTGTATGTATTGTACTATACTCGTATAACGGTCAAGAACATGAGGGATCTTCGGTTTTTAATATAAGATCAAAGCAATAGGTGTAGGGTGTTGAGAGAAAAGGAAGATCAACATCATGGTTTACGAATACATAATTTCATCAAGTCTTCTCGCATACTTCCATGTCATTACATGTATCAACCCGCATGTCGCATGTTACACATCTTTACTCTACATTGATCTTAGTTACTTGGTATACTTGGTATACTTGGCATCAGCTTTTTGTGACTTTGGCAACTGACTTGCTTATCTACATCTTGGCAAATGATAGATCTTTCTTATGATCTTCCAACATGCGGCACCAAGTGGGGTGAGGATCTACGAATGGGAAATATGAAGCTGCTCGTCGTACTCCACTGCAGTTTTGAAAGAGGCGTCGAGAATTGGGGGGAATAATAAAATCTAGTGTCATGAATGTCAAATGTGAGAGAAATGAAGGCTGGGTACCGTGCGTGGAACTCCGGGAATGATCTTTGAGTAACCTCAAGTGCCAAGATTGACCAAAGGGAATGAATCGAAAATGGTATCTGGAAAAGTGTCAGGATTGGGAAGGGCAAGATAGAGAGAGAAGAAACAAAAAACGTACATCATAAAACCCTTCACCAGACTTTCTTCCCATTTTACCTTCTTTAACCAATTGATCCAATAATGGAATAGGTTTAACTACTTCTTCTGAAATACCTCCAGAACCAGATTTCTCACGCCAACCTTGGGCGATGTAGGATGCAGTGTCGAGACCTACGAAATCGAGTAGTTTGAAAGGCTGGGTTTAGTTATCCTCGGTCTTTATCTCTTGTTCTGCACGATTCCTCCCTTCTCCTTTTCCCTTACCCGACAAGCAAATGTTCATCCTTATTTTGGTCGATTGGAGTTGAAAAAGTGAGTTGATTTGGACACTTTTGGTTTGGAGAAGAAGAGGGAGAGTTGGATTTGGATTGGGAGAAACTCACTCCCATCGCTGATACTCAGTACGCTTTCTTTTATGATGTGAAAAGGACAAGTGGATGTGATTGTGACAGAGGGAATGAAAAGTGGTGAAGGAGATATAGGGAGAATATCTCAAGGAGGAGGACTTACGATAACCTCCTCCTAATTCCATAGCCTTGTCTACATCTTCAGGTGTTGCGTCACCCCTCTCCACCATCCTAATAGCGTCCACTATTAGTCAGTTCCCCCCACATCGTCTTATCAATCAATGTCAAATGAGTTCTGATTGATCGAGGATGGAGAGGAAGTGAAATGAAACTCACACAGATAAGGTATCAACAATCGATTTACTATGAACCCAGGAGTGTCTTTACAAGTCACTGGTGATTTACCCATTTGTTCGGTTATAGATCGAAGGGTTTCATATGTTTCATCAGAGGTATGAGTGGTGCGAACGATCTCAACTAGTTTCATAGCTGGAACAGCTGTTTCTCCATCAGTAATTCGATTCTCTGCCTGACTGCTTCAATTCTCTGCCTGACTGCTTCAATTCTCTGCCTGACTGCTTCAATTCTCTGCCTGACTGCTTCAATTCTCTGCCTGACTGCTTCAATTCTTCGCCTGACTGCTTCTGAAAAAGAAGAAAGACGGGCAAGGTGTGAGAGAGGGAACGGCGCAAGAAGGGTGGTGTGAGAGGACGAGCAAACAGGGGGAAAACATACGATTGAAGAAATGTAATCCTGCGAATCTCATTTGTCTTTCAGTCGAACACGATTCGGCAATTTCAGTGATAGAAAGACTAGAGGTGTTACTTGCGAAGATACATTCCGCTCTGTATATCAGTTCTACCCCTCCCAGGTCGGGCTTATCGAAAAGAGAGAAGCTTACTTTGCTTTGGTATCGAGATATCCGAAGAGATCGCGTTTGATCTTCAGACTTTCAATGATGGCTTCCACGACGAGATCAGCCTCTTCGACAGCTTTACCCCTACATGTCAGCTACCACCAGTGTGAAGATTGTGCATTGTAAGGGAGAAAGTACTTAAATGGAGGGGACTTACGCATCGGTCGTTGTGCTTATATTGTCCATGATACCTTTTGTGAACCCCTCAACGTCGTCTGGTTGGGTTTTCTTTCCGATCCTAGAGAGAGATTTTGAGATGATGTTGAGACCGTTTCTGCCATCAGCCCTTCTCCTCGTTCCTCCTACTCCCAGCAATCCCATCTTGATGAATATACCTTGGTAAGAAAAGTGAAAGTAAAAAATAGAAGGTGACTAACTGTAGTGCTTTATCCGTAATGTCTGAAAGAATTACCTGGATTATCATCAGCTTCCACTAATCTAAGACTTTTCTCTGAAGACAGTCATCAACAGCTGTGCTTGTCGTAGGAGTCGACGGCATACCATCTCGGATCGTGGTAGAAGACCAAGAGGAGTAGAAGGAGCGGACATATATGAAGAATAACCACTCACTTTGAACCCATTCTGAGCTCCTACCTGAGCTATGCCAGCCCCCATCAACCCCGCTCCAAACACTGTGAGTTTCTCCACCTTCCCAGACCTAGAGCTTACTCCTCTGATCCCGGATGGAGCTTTTGAAGAACCTAGATGTCTTTGGATAGTCGAGAGTCTAGTGGAGGCGCTAAGGTTGATATTCCTTGACATTATGCTTCTGATGAAGAGCATCTCAAACCAGATGGTACTCTAGAGTAGGAGGAATGTGGAAAGCTCAGAGGTATATGGGACCGGTAAGAAGGTTGGGGGTTAAGCGCAAGTGAAAATGCGGGGTAATGTGGGGGTCAATGTGGGGCTCCAACTCGCTTATCTCTTCGAGTCCTATGCTCCGACCAGGTCGGTCAGGTCGAAAAGTGTCTACAAAAGCTCTCTTCAACCTTCCATTCAACCTCTCTTCCCCAGCCCAATAGTCTTTTGGATACCTCATTCGTACTGGGAACTTGGGATAGAAAGAAAAGAAGAGAAAAGAAAGAACCAAAATGTCAGTTGAACCCGGGTTCCTTTCCGCTGCTCGGTATGGTAAGTTCTCATGGTGATGTGAAAGGAATCCAGGGCTAACAGAAATAGGTAAAGATCTCGTTAGGGTTTGTCGAGTGGTGAGAGATAAAGACCAACATCATGTAGTTGAATATACCGTGAGGGTGATGTTGGAAGGAGATATAGATACAAGTTTTACTGAAGCGGATAATACTTGTGTGGTTGCTACGGACACCAGTGAGTTATATCTCCTTCGCACATGTTCCTCCTCTCCTCATTCACACACCATGTTTTAGGCCTGTTATCATCTAATCTCTAAGTAAAGGCCTGTATCAGTCTGGGGAGATAATAGCATCGGGAGATATCGGCGAGAAGAGAAAGTTGCTGACAACATAGTGAAGAACACGGTCTACGGTCAGTTTTCCCGTACCCCTCTAACCACATCTCGTGTCCTACGGTGATGAGAGTTGTGTCGGAGTGTAGAGCTGACACAAAGTCCTAGCCAAGACCTCTCCTCATGTACTCAACCCAGCAATGTTCGCACTTCATCTAGCGACACATTTCGTCACGAAATACAAACATATTCATAAATCTTTCGTCGACCTCGTATCCCTACGATGGAGTCGGATCCCGGTAGGGGGTGCACCGCATAAATGGAGTTTTGTGAGAGATGGAGATGAGAAAGAGGTGGTAGAGGTTGCAGTGGAGGACAAGGGTGAGGGCTTGGTGGGGAGTGTGAAAGGTGGAATTAAGGACTTGTTAGGTAAGTCATCACTTCAGAAATCATCTGTTGTATTCCTTTGTGGAGGCTTTACTATCATCTTTGTCCTCAGTGTCCTACATTTTGTCTCTCTTTCAGTCAAGTGTCGAATCGGAACAGAATGAGGACACATGTGTCGATGGATGTGACGAAGCGATTACCTTGAGGGCCGAGCGAGAGCGAGCTGTAGTACTGAGGAGGAGAGTGCTGATTTGTAGTGCTCAAATCCGGAGGGTCAGCATTCACAAACTTTCACAGAGATGAATATACCACTCTTGCTGAAGTCGCCGATCGACTTTTCTCAACTTCCGTCACACTCTCTTACTCCATTCCTCTCCCCTCTTCCATCTCTCTATCCCTCGACACCCTTTCGGAGATTGAAAAGACCATCGATTTTCCGTCCATCTCACAGAGGGCGAGGAAAGATACCCTAGAGGTGTTCGCGACGGACGAGTCGGCCAGCGTTCAAGCTACTTTGTACAATACACTGCAGAAGATTTTGAAATCGTGTGAGGAGATCAAAGAAGCAAGTATGGCCCTTCCCAACAAACATTACATGTGAGTACATAGGGGTTAGTAAGGATGAGCTGACGGATAGTCCTGTGAATTTGAGTCCGTTTGGTTTGGATAATGGATTGGGGTATGAAGGAGGTGCAGAGGTGTTCCACCCTGTCGCTGATCCCTCTGGTCTGATCACTGCCACTGTGACACGCAAGTGAGACGGTGGGTGAGTTGGGGTCAAACATCTGTGAACTCTTTCGAAGCATCATCAGGTCGAAGGTCAGTCTCCTGTCACATCTGCTATGCATATTTTGTATGGTTGATGTGCGCCGTGAGCCAGGATTGTGGTAAATTACTTGAGTAGGTGAGAAATCAGTCGCGGCGTGGTGAGTGGCTGTGCAATTTGGCAGAGATCGAAAATGAATGACGCGTGCCTGAGAAAGAAAACGGTCTCACAAGTAAGAGCAACATGCGGTCAAACTGACTGTCCCCTCCTTACCTTATCCATCTTCTTGGCATTCAAACATCTTATCAACCCACGACAACTTTTTGCAGATCTGCCAAGCTGAACAGATCACAGATCTTCATTCAAAGCGAACCAGAACAGATCATATAACAACGATGAATAAGTCGGTTTCTACATAAACAAGTAGAGAGACAAACACGATCGAAGACTCTTTTTTCCCTTCCCCCCGCAGTCCTCTTTCCCTTTTCGAACCTTTTCTCCTCTTTCTGTTCGCTCATTCCAGCCTTCCATCACACCCTAAAGTCGTTGAGGTGGGTATTGTGGAATACGACCTCGACATCGGGGAAAATTCAAGAATCCTGATCGAGAACTTTGAATACCAAAATCGAATTTCAAGACTTGGCAGTCTTCTCGGCCTCGAAGAAACCCCGTGCATGATTCAAAGTACGTCCTGAACCATCGGATCGTTGCATTGTCGGATCGTTGGAATACAACCTCATCATACTTGAACAAAGTCTTCATGTCATAGAATTCTGACAAACATGTTGTGAGTTTTTATCCTCTTACTTCACACCGCCTCTTGCGCCCCCCGGTCTCTGAAACTTACTCGAATGCTTGAGGGAAAATGCACCACTGTTTGTTTATGATCCACATTCATAACAGTACAAATGTCTTAGACAGAGAACAGGGGTAAACGTGCATGAAAAGATGGTAGGGATCGAAATGAAAACATGGAATAGGAGATGGGGTTAAGGAATCAAAGATACAAGGAATGAAAAAGTTGATCATTTAGATATTTGACAGCTGACAAGTTTCCTATCTGTAAGTCTCTGTGTCTATTGGAAGATGAAAGCTGATGTACAGTCGTGCCATTCGGTATCATCGGGTGAGTTTATTTTCATCCTCGACCGAAGTCGCTCTGTCTTTACACTGGTACCTTCTCTGGAGGGCCCCACTTTTACTACTTCCGCAGCACTTTTGCTCAGCAAGACTGGCACTCGTTCCTCGTCTCTGTCGACATGTTGGAACCAGCTTTGGCTTGGCGACTGAGCCCGCCCCCCTGTCGCCAGATGTTCTCACAAAAGAGATGTTCCCGCTCACCCCCAGTTTCTACCGATACCTATGGTACATCATCCGATTACTCGCTCGATGGGCTTATAGACCTATACCATTACCCGATAATCCTACATATGTGGCGAATGAAGATGTGACGATTATCGTTCCTACCATTGATGCGGGGGAAGAGTTCAGAGGTAAGTCATCCTTTGCTTATTCATGACCTAATCTCCCAAAATTTCCTCTTCTCGTCCACGGAGTTGTGTCGTTCTGGCGAAACCACTCATACATCTACTAGCACACTGAGCGATGTAGCTGACATCATCAGAAGCAGCTTTCTCCTGGCTTCAAGGTTCCCCTAAAGAAATCATCATCGTCACCGAAGAACGTATGAGAGGTCCATTACAAGATTTAGCCGATTCTGTCGATCCATCACGAATCAAAGTTCTCACAGTCCCTTTCGCCAACAAACGTCTTCAAATGTCCCATGGGATACGTAATACCACAACAGATATCATCGTTTTCGCCGATGATGATGCCATTTGGCCTTCCACACTTCTCCCACACGTTTTAGCATGTTTCGAAGATCAACAAATAGGTGGAGTCGGTACGAGTCAAAGAGTTAAACCTTGTGGTGATCGTATGACAGTATGGGAAGTTCTCGCTGCTTTTCGATTAACCATTCGAAATATCGAAATAGCTTCAAGTACACATATAGATGGTGGAATACCTTGTTTATCAGGAAGAACAGCAGCGTATCGTACCGTCATTTTAAAAGATCCAGATTTTTTACATGGTTTCACGAATGATCTTTGGTTAGGGAAATATCATTTGAATTCGGGTGATGATAAATTTTTAACTAGATGGATGGTTTCACACGGTTGGAATACATATGTTCAAGTTTGTAAAGAAGCTGAATTATTATCAACCATGAAACCTAATTGGAGGTTTTTAAAACAAGTTTTAAGATGGACTAGGAATACTTGGAGAAGTGATTTTAGAAGTATTTTCACGGAAAGATACGTTTGGACCAAACATCCTTATGTGGCTTATACGATGATTGATAAATTTATAAATCCTTTTACATTGTTGGTTGGACCGGCTTTGGTCATATATTTGATTGTGAAAAGTACTAGGGATGTGAATTCGGGAGGATATCATTTACCTGCTTGGTGAGTGGTCTTTTTCTTTGTCTCCTTTGATCAGATGTGCGATCTAGAACCATTCCTCTACTTTCTCAACATCTGCTTCTTTTCCGCAATTTCGAAGTCCTCCCTTGTCACCTGTGTAAAGGATATTGCCATGGATGATACAATGTGTGAATACATGCTGACGAATAGGAATATTGTCTGTTCAGTATGTATCTCTTCATATCTCCTATCTGTCCATCCCACCCCACCCCGTCCCATCTTCTCATCTCCAGCGTACTCGTCTAGTACAATTACAACACCCACTATTCCATCCCCTTCACCGTTCCAATCTCTCGGATTCAGTTTGCAATATGACTCCGAGGGGAGATGTATTGAGCTATAAATCACTAACCCACAGTACCTAGTCTGGCTCATGTGCACAAGAACGTTCAAGCTTTTACCACATTTATGGTTTCATCCCAGTCATATAATCTACGTTCCCGTATGGATCCTGTTTGGGTATTATTTGTGCGTTTTCTCTCCTTCCCCACTAAGCATGACTGATACAGAAGCGCAATCATGAAATTATACGCGGTGTTTACTTTGCATGAGACTGGATGGGGTACCAGAGCTGGGATTGGGGATCGTAAGTCACTTGTCTTCCACCTCTATTTTCGCTTTTCTTCTCTCACCTCAAAATGCTTTTCAGCTCTTCATGAATTCATATCATATACACTGTGTTCCTTCCTCTCTGATCTATTTCGCTACGTAGCTTGTCATCCGACACACGCCTTGTTATCGTATTGGTCATCACATAGACGTCTTTGCACCATGCACCACGCTCCATTTCGATACTGATCACTTCTTCGGTGTGAGACCAAAGACCTTCGCTCCTGTCAACCAGTTCGGGGGTTAGGATCAGAACATTTCGATTTCGTTCTCTTAGAAGTATGAAAAGAGTAACGCTCACACTCAGCTGCAACCGCTACTGCCGCTCAAGAAAAAGCGGCACATCCTTCTCCCCGTGCGGATCCTACAGGGATGTATGACTTGGAATTGAATGGTGTTCGTAAAGCATAAACGTGAGAAGGTATGAGAGAACGACATTGAAAGTCGGGTTAATGAACCTGATGTATGATGTATTATGCATATTCATGATTTGCTCTTTTTCCTCTTCCTTCAATTTCAATGTCCATCACTCCCCCACCTTGCTAGGTGTTGAGTACTCGTACTGTAGAGTATGACTACTTGTACTTGGCCTATTGAAAATGTCCAACGAGATGATATGAATCCATCAATTGGAAAACAAATAGTGGTTCTTATCCAGACCAAGAGATGATCATATTCATTATCCCTTTAAACCTTTCTCTTTCCAAATTCATTTCTCCCTTCACATCCTCTTCCTCTTCCCCTTCCCCTTCCCCTTCTATCTTCCCATATAACTTTCCCTCTTCATCCCCACTCAAAACTTCATTCGCCGGTACTTGAGATGAAGATAAAGACGAATCGATCAAACTTAAACCAACAACGACCCCACGTCGTTTCATATTTAAAGTATCTAAATTCCACCAGATCAAAGTAGCGATTTGAGAAACGTAAGTATCGTTTATCGTTTTATCTTTTGGTGATCCGAGCAGAGGGAGGAGTTGAAGGGATGGATTAGGTGGAGGGAGAGATATTTCTTTTGAGTGTGATTGGGTCAGATTGGTTGGGTCTACTTCCGAAGTCAAACTCGGATTGGTTGGATCTTCTTTCGAGATCAGACTCGGATTGGTCAGGTTGTCATTTGAACTTGAAGTTGGAGTCGGAATAATTGGATCGGCATTTGAAGTAGAAGTTGGAGTTGGAGTTGGGTTGGGTGGAATGGTTGGGTTGTCATTGGAAGTACGAGTTGGAGTCGGAGTTGGAAACAAGTTTGAAGGTCGAATAAGAGGTATAGAAGAAAGAAGAGTAGCTTGTGTCTTATTTCATCAGCATATCCAGTATCCAAATTCATTCCCCCATGGAAAATACGAAGATTAAGTCATGTAAGACAGAGTGAAAGCAAGTAGACCCACTGAGGAATGAGTGGTTCTTGGTGAGGAGAAAAAGGGGTAGAAGGCCGAATCACTCACTAAACATCCCACTTTACCATTCTGAGTGATGACCACAAAGATTCGGTCGTCGAATGTTTGGATCAAAAGTTCTGTAGGGATACCGAGTACTTTCTTAACTAGATGATATGAAGGTATAGACATTATGTATGTCGAGAAATTGATGATGATGGAGAAAGGAAGTCACAGGGTGAAAGTCATTCAAGGGGAACGTTGTAGATTCAGAACGACACGAGGCATTGTTTAGTTTATTCCTTTTTGCTGAGACTTTTGTGAATGAATACCTATGATAGATCTCGACGCCGTAGCATATCATCATATAGTGTCAATGGATAAAGATACAATCCTCAAGACACAAGTGGAGACATGCATATTATCATACAATATATGACATTATTTGATTACTTCCAAAACATGTCCTTGACGTCTTCCTTCGCAAACCCCGTCCCACAGGTCGGACACCGACGTTGTCTCGAAGCGATCCGATCGTCTAGACATTGTTTGCAGAAAGCTGACGAGTCAGCTCGAGAATCGTTAGGGACCCACATAGTCGGGATGCCAAGAGCAGCGGAAGAGTCGCGAGGAGGGGGAAAAGCCGAGAAGAGATTCTTTCATATGGAGAAGGGGAGGGAGAGAGAAAAAGGAGAGTGAGCCATGGGTGAGGGGTCAAGGAAGAATCGACACCCACTGTGCATGCACTTGACAATGGCTTGTTGCTTCAGATTGATCCCACAACACTGACATCGCAATACTTGCTGATTGTCAGCGATCACAGACACGATACACGGAAGACGCGATACGCAAGACGGGCGGGGTAGAACTCGGAAGGTATTTGAGATTGACATGGTTTGAACAAAGTAACAGTGGAGAGTACACAGGCGACGGGGGCGTAAAGGGACAAAACCGATTCAACGAAAACACACCCATAACCTGTTCTTCTCCTCCAACAACGCCTCATACTCCGGACTCGACTTCCCTCCGCCTCCGCTTATCGCCGTCTGTCGTTCCTTCAGCTTTTTCACGTTCCGTTGCGACGTGCCGAGCTCCTCCTGTACTTTCACCTTCTCCGCCTTTTCAGCGTCCGCCTCTGCCACCCTTTGCGCCAACATCTGTTGCAGCTCCTTCGTCAGCGGAAAACCACCACATTCGCGGCTGATGACTCACTTGCGCACCCGCTGCCTGACTTTGCTGTAGTCGCAGTTCCAGCTGTGATCGGTCCGAAGTCGATTGAGCGAGTTCCGATTGAAGCTTATACAACTCGTTCTTCGCCGCTGTCCACCCTCGATCACGCTCAGCTATCTGAACATTGAGACTACGTTCGACTTCCTGCGCTCGCTCGAGAAGTTTCGCCTGCTTGTCGACACTCCGTTGGGCGATTTTGCATTCCGCTTCCAGACTTTCTTTATGTCGCATGGCTGCGAAGTATTTGTTATCTGCTTTTGCTTTCTGCCGAAGATGAGCTTGCACCAAGTTAAGACATTAAGAAAGCTCACCTCTGTGGTCAGACGTTGTATTCTGAGTTCGCTCTCTTTGAGATCAAAGACCCTGCTATTGACCAGCTTGTCCAGGTCGTCACATGACCTAGACAATACTTCGATTTCTGAATAAGCAGCATTGGCCGATACTTCCGCTTCCGACAATCTGATTTCCAACGCCTTCTTCTCTTCTTCCAACTTCTGCAGTCTCACTCCGAGCGTTGCTGCGTCCGTCGACGGATCTGAATCAGACCCTAGTATTCGTTCAAACCTTTCTAGCCGTGACTTCGCTTCATTCAGTTCCAACCGGATAGCGACGTGATCTTGTAGTTCTTCGGGGTTTGGCGAGCTGTTCACGATGGCAGATAGGGCGATGATTTGCTCTTGAGCAGCTTTGTACTTTCCCTCCAGTTCCTTCAAGTAATCACCTTCCACGCCTCCGCTTCTCAGAAAAGACAGATATCCCTCGGCACCCTCCCTGGCCGCCAGTGTACCTTTCAGTCGTCTACACTCGGACAAAAGTGATTTCACTCGCTCCTGTCTCGCAGTCGCCAGAGCTTCCATCTGTTCACCATACGTGAACTTCTCCTGCTCTTTTGCTTTTTTCTCTGCAAGCTCAGCTGTCAGATCATCCCGTATGCCCCTCAAACGAGCGAGGTCGGAATCTTTCTTCGACCCAGCCTGTCGAAGTGCCTCCACTTCAGCTTTTGACTCGGCAACGATCACCTGATGAAATTCTTGGTTGCCATTCCTGACCTCATCAAGTTTTTGCTCAGTAATTTCGGCTCTCATTTGCATGGTGTTGGCACGATTTATTTCGGTAGCCAATTGGTGTAGGTAGACATGAAAGAACGGGGATTGTCGTAGTGTTGCTTCGGACGGATGTTCGGCCTGAAGTTGTGAGCTACTCGTTTCTGGACAAGAGAATAACCTTACCAAAACCCGCAGACGATCGAGATCCTGCTGTAGAGCAGTGTTCTGAGATCGTAGAGCATCGAGTTGTTCGAGTCTTGACCGTGCTACCTCCTCCGCCTCCAGAGTATCTGGGACTAGCAAGTGTGTGGGCTCGGCGCCGTTGACGAGAGGCTTTGTTTCCTATACCTTGAGCTCATCTCTTGGACAATGGAAAAGGTATCTCACAGGCTCTACACCGTTCGGAGTAACATGACCAGAACCATTGGCGGCCTTCTGAGCGGGCGTAGAGGAGCCTCTATCACGATCTCGGCTATTCCATTCCAGTCGCTCTTTATCGTGTGCCATCCGTTGACGATCAAGGGACTTCTGCAACTTGTCCAAGTCCCTTGAGAGACTATCTCGGGTGTCTGTCAGAGATAGCAGCTGAGATTTGAGTGTCTGGTTGTGCGCTCTAGAGGCATCCGCCTCGGCTTGTAGTTTGAGGAGGCGATTATGTAATTCCTGGGCGGCGGTGGGACGGACAGCTCCCTGTGACGCTAGAGCTGCGAAGCGAGCTATAAGTCTTTGAGTTGGGGGAAGACGAGATCTCAACGCGGATTCTAATTCCTGTGTTGCCAGTCCGCTATCTAATGTAGCTACAGGGATCAGACCCGTGAACTGAGAAGAGAAAGATGAGGACTGACGATTCAACAAGTCTTCCGAAGCCACGCCGAGTTCTTGTTGACCCGCATGATCTTGGATAGCAGTGACGACCTATTCATCAGCTGATGAGGAACGCTGAGAATGAAGGCTATATTCACCTGAGCCCAACATATCTCTACAGCACGGACACTGGCCTCGAGCACCCGTCGTTGTGCCTCCAACTCGCTGGCCTTTCTCGCTTCGGCATCATAAGATCTCTTGTATGCGAGCATTTGTCTGAAGATGGCTTCTTTTCTATGTGACTCTACGACCTTTTGCCAGTCTTCTAACCTATCTTCGTCTGGTTCAGAAGTTGGGGGCAAGGACATACTCAATGCGCGTCTCTTTGCGCCTGGAAGGGACTCATCTATACCGGTCTCGCGGACCCTTTTGAGGTCCGCATTCATTCTGGAGAAAGTATGAGGTTTCTAAGACCATCCACACTTTTGACGAATAAGTAAGAAGAGGAATGTTATGATGATTTGTGAGAGGGTGAGAGACATGGAGACGAGAAAAGTCAAGGCAGAGACTTAGCAGGATGCTGTAACCCCGCGGTGATATCTCAAATGTGGCAATTTAGTCTGGACGCGTTTGGCCACCCGTTCTACTCAAACTTACGTCGACCAACACCGCATAAGGTCACTGATCACTGATACATCTTTACACTATCCAGATCGCCAAGGTCATGGTGGACACACTCGAGCCTGGCGGGCTTCTTGGACCTACAGGGAAGAACGGGGATATGAACGGTCATATAGTACATAAGATGCCGAGTAGTGCGAGTATAGGAATGGAGGATGACGAGGATCAAAGGTGTGTCCCGTGTTCTTTTGACAGAAGTGGGTTGATGATTCAGGTTTGACTCACCTGAAGATGAGATCGCATATTATAGGGACAAGTATAGGCAAGCTGTGGATGGTTTGATTGAGACTCGAGCTGAACTTGGTGAGTTCTTCATCAATTCCCACCCCACTCGGCCCCGAAGAACAATCGGCAAACCGAGCAGTAAGACCATGAGCAAACGATGAGGGGTGTAAAGCACACCATGAGGACTTGTAGCTGAAGTAGCGGGTCGAAAGCTGATGTTTATAGACGAATTCCAAGCTTCATCAAAAGAACTAGAGGATGAATTAGAAAGAGAACTTGCCGCCACAGAGAAACACCAAGCCGAGCTCAAGGAAAAGATCAATCGCCTCGAGGCAGAGAAGGAAGAATGGAAAGTCAGTTGATTAGGCTTTCGGGGTGCATTGTGAGCTGATATGGTAGACCAAACTTATCGCACTGCAAAAACAGCATAGTTCCACTACGGCTGCTATGCAGGTAAGCTGTTGGAAAACATGTTTGGACGAGCTGACACTACAGCGTGAGATGGACAATTTACGTTCGGAACGAGACAAGACACTCGTCGCGCTTAGAGATCTGGAAATGGGTAACGATGAATTGGAAAGGAATGAACGAGTGGCAGTTTCATCTTTACTTGATTTGGAAAGTAAATACAACAGAGCTATAGAAGAGAAAACTTTATTAGAACAAGAAGTTGTTCAACGACAAGAATTGGAAGATGATGTTCAACGATTAAAGGATGAATTACGAGGTATGTGATTTTTTCTCCTTTTCATTTGTTACATGTTTATTATGATATTTGTGCTAAGGGTCAGACGCGAATAACGAAATTTCCATTCTGAGAGATCAAATCTCTCGAGCTGTACCTACACCTCCTTCATCCATCGGAATGTCCATGTCACCCGTTCAAGAAGCTTCACGAGAATTATCGCCTATAGAACCACCACTTCCACCTGACAAAGATCCCGTCCCACTTCCAGACCGACAATCAGCTCCGACACCTACACGCATACCTCGAAGTAATACCTCTTCCTCCATACCAACTCTCTCTCCAGCTACTAAACGTTATTCAGGACTTGTACATTCACCTACCATTTCAACTCTCAGTCGATCTATAAACACTCGTAATTTGGTAAACGCAGCAGCTTCTCCTGCCGTTCAACGTACTCGTTCCATTCTAGCTCCATCTCCTGCGAAAACGGTAAATCCAAATCAAGTGGCAAAGTCTAAAGGGTTTAAATTATTACATGATCTACAAGCTCGATTGAAAGCTACCGATGATAAATTAGGAACAAGAGTACCGAAAAGTCGTAATGTTTCTGCACCTATGCCACTGGGTATTTCCAAACGTTCAGTTTCTACTTCTACTTCCAATCAAAATCAAAATCAAAATCAACCTCAATCACAATCACAAATCATTTCCCATTCTCGAACGGAATCACAATATGGAAGAGTTTCACACGCCCGAGTTGCGGCTTTACAAGATACAACTTTAACTCCTATGCAAGGTGATAAAAGTGGGAATACTTTATTATCACCAAATGGTTGGGTAATGATTGAAGATGGTGAAGACACACCTACGAATAATATTCAAGCCAATTTAGCTTTTATGCAAGAACCTACTTCACCTCTGGAAATGAATTTTAGAGCTGTTTCAAGTGCTAGTAATTCAAGTAATCGATCTCTTCCTAGTAGACCTGCTATACCTTCCCCACTTGCAACTTTAATCAGATCAACATCTCGAAATGTTCCTTCTTCCATTTCCATTTCCAATTCTACCTCTACATCAAATTATGCCTCTCACACCATTTCAAGTTCAATTCACCAAACTCAACAATCTCATACGAATCAACGAGCAAATTCCAATTTAGCCCGTTCTAGTCGATTATCTTATGTAGAAAACAATAGTCCAACTTCTCCCCCCATGAAAAATTCAAGACCAATGTCACCTTCCATGTTACCTCAACCACGAAACAATTTCCGTGCACCTTCACCAAGTATAATGTCTACACTTTCTTCTTTACCTTCTCAACCTATATCTCTATCTCGTTCTTCTTCCAGGACGGATACGAACACTCGACCTTCTTCAAGAATAGGAACAAGACCTCCTTCTAGATCTTCAGATTTCAGAGATGTTCGAATAGACAGAAGAGCTCAATCAGCTTTAGGTAAAGGTCCACCTCCTACTTCTACCACGCATCCTGATTCTAGACCGTTAGGAATGTCAGTATCTACTTCCGCACCTAGCGGAATGAAAAGATCCGCTCGTCGATCGTCTGTAGGAGTAGGGGAATTATTACCTGCTTCTGGAATCCCTTTACCGAAAACAAGTCCAGGTAGACCGGTTAGTGTACCTCTTTTCCAAGCTGTTCCTCCACCTGTTCCTAGGATACCAAGTGTTCATCTGAGGGAAAAGAGGACGACGGTGTTAGGATTACCAATAGATCGTCGAGCTCCGCGGAAGAGTGGGTATGAGTGATTGTGTTTAAATGATCTGGGAATTTTTTGTAGCTACTAGCTACTATTATCAGTCCACTTGATGTGGTCGTAATCTCGGTAGAAAAGAGCGAGTAAAGGTATGCACAACATAGAATGCATGTTTTGACTATATACTATTCTTTGAATGAAAAGGGAAAAGGAGATATTGATGTTTTATCGATACATGTGTTTTTTGCTTATTGTACTGTACATTGATTTTGCTCCTGAGATGAATCTGACTCGGATGAAAACTGACATGAAGAGAAACGAGATTTGAGAATATGATGGTTTCTCATGTTGATCATTCTTTCTTGCGCCACTTACTACCACTATGTCTAAAACACGTTAGCTATCTCACACTCACACCGCATCCATTCATAACAGATGGAGCTCAGGTGGACATGTTGAACGATTTCACAGAATTTGATGGAGCAATTTCAGATCTTAACTCCTTGCAGAAGAACAGTGGTACAGTGGATGAAGACAGAACATCAACTCACCCTACCTCAGCCCTCAATTTCGCTTCTTTCTCCCTGACCATCTCATCAGCCTTTTTATTTTGTTCTTGTACATCTTGAGTCGTTGGGAATCCTATATTCCAATATTTAGGAGGAGTAGGAGGTCTTATCCATACTTCTCTATGACGCGATATTTTATTTTGGTGTTCTTGAATTTCACGTTCTTTTTGGTTCTTCTCTTTTTTACTGGTTTCCATTCCACCGAATTCTTCTTTCAATAGGTCTGGATGAATCTCGTTGAGATGATCATGAGTGGTAATGAGACGTTCTTGTTTGGATGTATGGAGTGAAGAGGGAGGGGAAGGGGATGGAGAAGGGGATTTCCAAATTGGACCGGCGTTGTATCGTGGGATAGGACCGATAGCTTGATAATACTATTTCTGTCAGTCACCGAATTTTTACTTATTATAGCCTGTAATAGGATCAGAGATGGAGACTTCGTACTTGCAATATGGGAGGCTCATTCAATTGAAACGCGAAAGAATGGAGAGGAGAAAAAAAGGTCACGATAACATAAAGAGAAGTGGAGTACTTACATCCTTGCAACATTCACAATCTCCTCCATGCATCTGTCGTCTGTCCACTTTACGTCTCTTGACTTCATGATATTGATACCCTACTCCATCGTTTTTCTCCCTATCAATTTCATATTCATCTTGAACCCTTTTCGTTCTTTCTTATCAGTATCGAACAATATATCACACCCCTCAATCCTCATGGAGCAGATGTATAAATAGACAGTGAAACAACCCAACTCACATTTCTTCCGGAGGTAAATACCTCCCATGTCCTTTATACCCCGCGTATAGCTCTCTTCTCTCAGATGTGGGTAAACGACTCAGTAATCTTCTTTGCGCTATCCTCTCCTCAGGCGTCAAATCGGCCATCTCCTTGAATCGAGTAGCCAGCGGAGTTGTCTTCACCGTGGATGTTTCTGCATTGGTGTGAAGAGGTTTTTTGCTTGACCCCGAGACTGCTCCCGGTTGAACATGTGCTTCGCTTTTGATTGGATGAAGTTCATTTTGGGGAGCGTGAGATTTGTATTTGTGAGGTGTTTTGTCGATATAAGGAGGTTTATCCAGTTTTTCGAGTTCGGAGTGGATAACAGACTTCTCGGTTGAATTGTGATCGCCTTCGGTAGTGCTTTCAAAACTCCTTTCTACTATGTCTTCCTCAACAACAGCTTTGGTGAAGGGCATGATATCTATAGATTTCGGATTTGTATCGCTCTTTGACAGCTCACCCGCGTGTCGAGTAGTCATATTTTCGACGATTGCGGTACTCATGTGTTGAGGACCTGTGTGTTTCTCTTCGAGAGATATATGCGAGTCGTTCTCCGTGTCAAAAGGGGTCTTGATTGAATCGAGTGGATATCTAGGTGGCCCACCACTATCTCTCTGGGCCTTTTTGGCTCTCTTCCTAGCCACCTTCTCCTTCTCAACACGTTTCCACTCTTTCCAATGCTTCAAATCCTCCTCATGTTTTTGTGCGAGGTTTCCAAAGTCCTTTTGAAGCTTCTCGTACTGGTCCTGCAGATCCTGGAATTGTTGAGAAGTAGGCTGAATCACTTCTTTCTCCCCCATTGGGCTCAGAGTGGCATCACCAGAAGAGATGTTCTGTCTCAATGTGTTCGAAGGCCAAGAAGAGGGGTTGCTATTTGTAAGGTATGACTCAGGCTGAGTGTTTTGCGATACTTCCCCCAATGGGGACCGTCTATCGACGTCAGATCGATACTGTTACATGATAGGCCAGGAGGACGTACTGTTTCTTGTATCTCGAAACTGGCCCACTCTTTTCTTTCTCAAAATTTTCCTGGTCCGTTCTCTCCAACTTTTCGCTCCATTCCTTAGTCTTTAGACGTTCCGTTGCCAAAGCCTCCTTCTCACTCATCCAAGCTTTCATAAGTCTCTCCACTTCCCCTTGATAGAACTTCTCAGTCCCTTCCATATCCCTCATCAATTCTTCTTCCCTCTTCCTCCCTTCTTCCATGCTCTTCCTTGCGGATCGAACTCTTTCTTCCAATCTACCGATCCTATCCCTCAGACCGGCGGCAACAGCTCGTTCGGCGTTGAGGTCGTCTTCATGACTTTTCTTCAAGGTCTCGATGTCATTGGTGAGACGAGAGTTGAGGGATTCAAGGAGCCAGATACGTCTATGGAGCTTGCCTTGGGCATCGAGGGAGTCTAAGGAAGGTGAAGCCGGACGTTGGGGATCGGCACTGGGACCTTGAGCATGAGAATAATAAGGGGTGGGAGAACGGAAATCGAAGGTAGACGATCTCTTTAGCGTTTGCTCGCCAAGTGAACGAGTAACTGAGAGTCTCTGAGGTACGTCACTCTCCATACTGTACCTACGCTATTGGCTTTGAGATATATGCTATGGGAATAGGTGAGGAAGAGAAGGAGATAAGAAGGGAGATGTGGGTGGCGAAAGAAAGCAGTCGGGTCCGAAGTAAAGTTTACGTAATATTCGGTCAACGCGTCAAAGAAAGACAACAAATGACTACCACTACTGGTCGTTCAATTGCATAAGCATAACTTACACTGGACAACTCACCATCGACCAGAACGAGAGTCATCAGGTAGAAGAGCGTCAGTCGAAATGAACGAAACAATGTCAAGAATAGTAGTGGAGAACGAGGCGGACTGGCTAAGAGTGAGAGAAGGTGTGTGTAGGGCTATGAATCAAGTGATGGAAGTTAGGTTAGCTTCTTTACCTGGGGGAAGGGATGGTGAGGCTGCCAAGAGAGTCAGAAATGAGGTAGAAGGACGGATAGCGAAGGTATTTCTCTTCTGCTCTGATAAGACGGTCGGATTGAGCTGACGAATAGATACAAGAAGAAACATTCAGATTAGCCCGGGCAAACCTGAGAGTGAACGGTCATAACTATGAAGACTTTGTAGAAGGTTCGTTCGACTCCTTCTGCCCCTCCCCCGCCCACCCCCTGATTTGATCAGAATACTATCTGAACCATGTTTCACGTCAGTGCTACGTCTCACGGTATCGTTGTATACTTTGGAAGGTTGTCGGTCAGAGCGTCGACTGATACCAGCCACCGAACCTTTCGACGAAGTATTAGACAGGAAGATCAAAGCTCTCGATGTGGAGAAAGTTGGATGGGATAGTACTATAGCGGACAGACGGAAGAAGACTCCGGGGTTGATCAATCGTTTAGAGGACAATCTGGAACAACGACGGACAGCGGCGGAATGGTTACCTGACGATGAAGTGGAGGATGGTAGGTCAAAGTCTATCTTCCTTTTCACCTTCACTTGTCCGTGTGTCTTAGCTGGACATCTCCGTAATTGTCACAAACTTATCTGATGCTGTTACTGAAGTGATAGACAAAACAAACAAAGTTGGAGACCCGCCCAAACCTCCTCGACACAAGGAGACCATTCAAACGTTTAAAACTGCCGTCACAAACCTCTCAGAGCTGGCCATAGTGAGCCGTTTGACCTGTCAAAGTATGATCAAGCTAACGTGTGAGACGGTCCCTTCTCAGCTGGCGAGAGCTCAACGTGCTCAAGCAGTACGAGAGGAGATATCCAGTATGCCTTCATAACTTGTACATATCATGTGCTCAAAATGGTCATTCGTTGTCATTATGATTCTGCGTCGTTGTAATCACTACGTGAAACCTTGTTGTCGGTCATTGATGAAATACATGATATGTCTACTCGTCAGCTCTGAAACGAACATGACGTCTGATGCCCACTGACATTTATGATATAGTCATCATAGATGGTTTTCCTGATCGACTGCCACGATTCTACCGTTTGGTTCTCTGCTTGACATCCATCACCTTAACCCCTTTCACCCCCTGTACCCCTTTCAACACCTTTATGAACTCCCCTCCTGAGCCTACCCACGCCTCGTGATCTCGTTGAACGAGCTGACCGTTTTGAATGACTTCGAAGATATGCTCTCCTTTAAGTTCTCCGACGGGCGCAAGATAGCGGAGTTGCAGTTGACCGGCCGAGGCGTGTCTTGAGAGGTCAGAAGGGGAGAGAGGGGAAGTGATTTGAATGTAGATGTGATTTGGGTCAAGCGATGGAGGCTTAACGGGGGTTGTCATAGTGTGCAGGGTCGACATGGACCAGAGTTGGGTGTCCCTCGCTGTACGAGATGTTATGTGTGAGCAGTAGTGATACGGTTACAGCAGCCAGCCGCTCGAGTGGCAAATTAGCGGAGAGCAAGTTGTTTCCGTCGGAAACTTGTCCACCAGAATTTTGCTCAACTTTCTTGCCCACAATAGCATAGATGTCTCTCTTCCCACCAAGGACCTACTAATTCTCTTTCTACATGGCCAAGTCTTCCAATAAACCCGGAGCGAAGCGCAAGTTCTCCTCAGCTCCAATCTCAAAGGTAGTGTAGTTTTACAAAGATGTGACTCAAGAGCTCACTCATAGTCTTCCAAGAAGCCTAGAAATGGTAAAGAAGGCCGTGAAGAACAGACCCCCTCTGGACCGGGAAAACGTCGTCCAGATCATCCTAAGAAGATCAAGTTGAGAGATCAAAGATTGATACCTGTTCCTCGGACGGCTTACGAAGATGATTCAGAAATTGAAGATCTGGGAGAGGAAGATTTTGATATGGAAGGATTGGGGAGTTTCGTAGCTGGTGTGGACAAAAATGCTTTAAGTCGGTGAGTGTTGCAGTTGGTCTTTCACTCTACCCCAATTCATCATTTTCAACTTCTCCCATCAGCAGTTCGTATCTTGATCAGATGTGTAGGCGATGAAACAGCTGATCATGTAGATCTGTCAAAGAGACAAAACGTCTTCACGCCCTGTCAAAAGCTCAAGATCCCCCTCCGCAAAGAGTCAAAGCAAAGGAACGTCTTTCGTCACCTGGATCGGATAGAAGTACCGATTACGAGATGGACCCTAATGCCGATTTCGATTCTGATCTTGATGATCTGTCTGAGAATGAAGCTGATGACCACGAGTTGTCCGACAGTGACTTGGAAGGCATAGAAGAGTCAGATGAACTCGACAATCTAGAGTTAGATGAGGACGACGAGGGCACGGAGGGAGAGGAAGACGATGAGGACATCCGAGGGCCAAGAAAAAGGAAACCTCAAGATAAAGAAGAAGACTACGAACTTATTGGTCGACAAAGATGGATAGCATCATCTCCAGAAACAGAAGAGGATCATATGGAAGTCGGTAGATTACCTATCAAACTCCCCACCGGTGAAGTTCAACAAGTCGAAGGAACAACTCGTATTCCCCTCCCTCCTAAACCTAAACCTACCAAGAAGCCTGAGCCCGTCGTGGAAGAAGTTGAAGAGGAAGAAGAGGAAGTTAGTGATGATGGTGCGGAAGCAGAGAAGATGGCAGGACAGAAAGGTCGATTTGGTCGAATGGGAATATCAGAAATTATCTCTCAGAAGGAATGGAGGAATTCTCAGAAGTTGGATGCTGCGAAAGAACAGATAGCTCAACTCGGTGCGCAGATTATGGCCGGTGGTGAGCTCGTTGATAACGTGAGTGTTTTTTTCCAATATCTTGTTCAGAAGCTGACAATATGAGGGTCCGCTGCTTACACGATTATCGACGTACGCTTTACCCTCCGTTCCTGCTGTAGATGAGGGGGGAGGGGAGAGGAAGCAAATCCTTGTTCCAGCTTCGATCAGAGGATTGGCACTTTTATCTCAGTTAGCTGTGTTCAAAGATCTCATTCCGGGTGAGTCAGCTACAATAATGACTCTCTGAGTGAAATGGCTGACAAGAAGGATACCGAATACGTCAGTTGACTCAACAAGAAGAGGCCGAGAAAGTCAGGGATGAGGTTAAAAGGTTGAGAGAGGGGGAAAAGGTATTAGTGAAATGTTATAGAGGGTATTTGAAGATGTTAGAAGCAGAAGTCAAATGTGCGTTCGAGATTCCTTCATCTTTTCCTTACCTTATCTTGAACGTTCCCGGTACTTGTGATCATGGACTTGCGGATGGTTTTAAAGAAGAATGAGACTGACCAACCTTAGCCCGGAGTACATTAGCTTCACTTAGCTTGAAATGCTTGTGTGAACTATTATCTTCAGTCCCCCATTTTAACTTTTCCGAGAACATTATGGGTGTATTGGTAAGTCGGCTGGGAAGGAAGTCATGGGACGAGGTGGGCTTTCTGTTTCAATCCATTCATCACTTTTTTACTAATGTTTTCTTCCTTCGACAATCTCGTTGCGATTTCATGTTGTGTTCAGATTTAGTTGATCAAGCTCAGGAATCAACACTCATTCTTCAAACATTCATCACTGTCTTCCGAAATGATATCACATCATTACATTCTCAAACCCTCGTCCGACTTGTGGCTCGAATGATCAAAGAAAGAAAATTCCAAGTTCATCCTAACGTCCTTTCTTGTTTACTGCACTTACGTCTTCGAACAGAATTGGATCATATGCGTGAATCGAGGAAAGAACTTGCTCGACAGGCAAAAGAAAAAGAAAGAAAACGTATGATGTCGAAGAAATTCAAAAGTGAAGTGAGAAAGAAGTGGCAGACTAAGAATGAGAAAAAGAGAGAGAAAGAGATGAAAGAAACCAAGAAACAAATGGCTGAAGCTGAGGCGGAGGTTGATAAAGAGGAAAGAGCTCATGTTGTAAGTCTTCCCCTTTACTCTTGGTTCCAACAAACATGCGATCCAATCAGCTACCAGAAAGAGAAATGAAGAGGTGATGACAATCTCAGCAAACGGAAACGCTCAAAAACATTTTTGTCCTCTATTTCTCTATACTCAAACATCCAGGAAAGTCCCCACTGTTATCAGCAGCATTGGAGGGTATTTCACAATTCGCACACTTTATCAATGTCGATTTCTTCCGTGATCTTCTCACCGTATTACGTTTGATAGTCCTCGACCAACCTATTCCCAAAGCTGGTTCTTCGTCCAAAGATGCCAATTCTCAAGACGATGAGAAATCAGAGGAAGAAGGGACAAGAAATGGAACACACACGAATGAAAGTGAGAGAATTCGTACTCGATTATTAGCAATAGCCACGGCCTTCGATTTACTCTCCGGTCAAGGTGAAGCTTTGACAATTGATTTATCAGCATTCATCAACGCTCTCTTCTCCCTTCTCCGATCTTTATGTATCGATACAGAACTTGAAGATCCTCCTCTTTCCACCTCTATCATCTCTCAACTTCCCCACCCTTCACCAGATATATCAAACTCGCACTTTGTTCCTGATAATACGATCCGGGGTAAAGCAGCATCAGCAACAGTGAAAGGGTGGTCAACATCCGATCTTCTTTTCAGATGTCTCGAATCAATATTCTTCTCTCGTCAAGCTCCTCCTTCTCCTCCGTGGAGAGCAGCAGCTTTCGCTAAACGTCTCACCGAATGTTCCCTCCATTTCCCTCCTTCGACAGCTAAGAAAGCGATAGGGTTCGTCAGGAAACTAATGGCTAGACATTCACAATTGGAAGGATTGTTAGATACAGAAGAAAGAATGTTTGATGGGGTTTATAAACCTGAATTGGATGATCCCCAATTGATCAACACTTTTTCGACTAGTTTATGGGAAGTTCATCTGTTAGCTGAGGTTCATATGAATGAGGGGGTCAGAGTGGAGAGTAAGAAATTGAGGGATAATGATAAGACTTGAAGTAGATGCATTGCTTTGGTGGTGATATTCGTATAAAAGTGTCATACAGATCTAATATGCAAGACAGAGTGATCAAATCTCACCAACACAACTTATACCCAGATCCCGGAATATTTTCACTTGACCATGATCAGCGTTAGCCGCGAAATATCTAGAGGTGCTGTTCTGGTTTTGATCGTCCATCCTATTCATAAGCTTTTCCAGATCATGACATTGCCACTCTCCCAGTCTCCTTCGATCCAGCAGGCGAACCCTCTCTTTTCTGGATCAGACAAACGAGGCGGATGAAATCGCCATGGCTAACGAATGTCAAGAAATCAATTGAGTGGACTAATGTTGAATAGTCCAGATGATCACATGACAATGATACAGGTGTATGGAGGAATTAAGAATGGAAAAAAAAAACATACCATTTACACGGAACAGCGTTTTTATCCAACAAAACTTTAACTGTAGCCCATGAAAACCTGACTGCACCTGTGTATCCAAATACCGGGTCAAGATTCTCTTTCAAAAAAGCTTGTGTACGAGGATCGGAAGGATACCCACTTCCCCTAGTGTTCATTACTCCCTTTCCATCTTCATTCTCGCTCTTCTGCATATTATCTATTTCTTTATCTTTGACCACCTCTTCAGGATTCGACAACGTCGTATCATGCGGACCAGTGGGAGGTTTTTCTCCATCAGACCAAGAAAATCCATTCTGGTTGAAAGAAAGTGATTCATGAGATTTAGATGTCTCCCAATCTAGCCAATTCTCAATATATCGATCTCGAGTCACTTTGGCGATTATACTGGCCGCACTGACGATTTTGAATAATGAATCGGCTTTGGGACATACTGTAAAGGATATAGTGGGGAATAGAGAAGATAGACGGGCTTGCCATTGAGGTGCTGGACCTAGAGCGTCGACGTAGCACTTATGTCAGCATTCGTCTTGGTCAGTGTTCGTCATTACGCCTGTCTCTAGATCCCATGTATGAACAACAGACTCTTGAGATGGAATATGACTCAAAGACTAGATGTGGGAGGAAGTGAGGTGATGGTGAGTACTAAGGCCTTCAGGCGTAGGTTAGTTCCTGTCTACAGAAAGCGAAGTACATATAAGATGGCAAAGGGTGAGAAAGAGTGGCGAGGAGACCAAAAGTAGAAGCGTTCAAATTCACCTCGGTCACTTTGATACCTCTATCAAGAGCAGCTTGAACCAATCCCACCGTCGCATCTTCAGCTTGTCGGTTCAGATTCACAGGTATCCGTCGAAGCATATTGGCTGATATAGCTTGTGGGGATAAAGTGGCGGAAGAGTAACATAATTCAGGATGATCTTCGAACTTGTCCCATAGATTTTGACGAGTCTCGGGTGATAATGCTTTTGAATCTTTTCATCAGTCCCGATCCTTGCCTAACATGGTTATGTGGTATGGGGACAAGAAGAAGAGGAGACATACCATCAAATCCCATTTCCTCCAGAGTAGATTTGAATTTGATAGGACATAAGGCAGCTGCGTACACCATAGGACCTATATCTCAGTAATATACAACAAGGAAAGCCAAATGAGGTTCACCTAATACAGCTGAGTGTCAGCTGGGACTTATAGACGCAGAGAAGGGGAACACACGTCCACGACCAGCTTCATCGATACCCATGATCCATTCTCCCTCGATGTCAGGTGGGAGGATGGAGTGATAAGTATATGAATCTATCAGAGGGGGTATGAATACGAGATTGACGGGGTCTGGTGGGTGCATGACGGTCAAAGTTAGTTGTGAATGATCGTGTCTCTTGACTTTTCTTCGACGCGTTCGAGTTTCTGATGGTGGAGGTCAAACCACGTGGTAAGAATGTGGCACCAATGTGGCATGTGGCACTTCCCGAATCGTTCGTTCAAAAGTTGAGATGGCTCATCGGTCGTCCCTTTCCGTCCAGCCATCCCGACCGGAATTCACAACAACGCACAATCGCTGGGACGTCGACCTTCTAATCCCTATTAGACTCTTCAGCTACCCTAAATCTTGAACAAAAAAAAAGCTTGACGGTGCTGCTACCCCTACGACTCGAAGCGTTACGCCAAACGTCATACTCTGACCATACCCCGGTCCGACCGATCTCCTTCTAATCTTCTCCTTCCTCGACCTCCACCGACTTTTGGAGTTTCTCTCATTTCAAGTCGTCTAGAAGACGAGGACCGACTTTCTTTCATCTTACGGCAGTTGACCTGCTTGGAGAGCTCAGGAAGTTCATCCATTCTCATACCTTCTTTTCTTTCGATCAAGCAGACAAACCCGACATGCTTCCGTTTTCTACCTTATCCCTTCTCCTCCTCACCCTCCTCTCTTCCACCTCGGCTGAGCAAAATGGCAGCAAGACTCCTCTTGGGAGACGTCAGCAGCCTCCGGTACCACACTCGTTAGAACATCGTGATGGAATCCAAAATCAGCAACTCCGAGAGTTGGAAGAACGATTGCTTCCTATCACAGCGACAACGACCGTGGAAATTGAAATGACAACCACTCGTACTATATGGGTTCAACCGACGGATCAGGTGGTATTAGGAGGAAGTGCAAGTACAAGTGCATTGATCTCCTTGACTACCTCTTCACAGAGCTCTTCATCAATCTTCTCTACCTCCTCTTCGGCATCTGGAGGATCATCATCATCTCCCTCACTTTTCTCCTCTTCGGTTGGGGTCGCTGAAGCATCGAGCTTCGTCTCTGCATCGCCCTCGACTTCTACAACTTCTCTCTCCTCATCATCCATCTCCTCTCTCGGAGTTGCAGAAGCGTCGAGCTCGGTCTCCGCTACCTCCTCCATCTCGACCCTCTCATCTTCTTCTTCACTTGTCCTCACTTCCGCTTCCTCTTTCCCCCTCAGCGCATCCTCTTCCAGCTACTCAAGCGATACCTCCTCCGCAACAACACCCCCCTACGAAACATCCTCAGCTTTATCGACAGCTTCGACGTCGAGCTCATACCCTTCTGCTTCTACAACACTCTCGGCACTAGGAATTTCGAGCTCCGCCAATGCGTCATCTAGCGCTATTTCATCTTCTCCTACTCCCTCTTCTTCTTCTTCCTCCTCCACCAACGAATCTCTCTCCGGGGACAGCTACCGTAGCTCTTCCTCTCATGCTTCCTCCCTCACTCGTTCATCTATTCACCTCACCTCGGTGACCCCTTCTTCCTCTCTTCCGGCGTCTACAACAGCCAGCCTGACCTCGTCCTCAACCGCTTCGGCCACTGCAACCCTCAGCCCTCTTCCAGATATTCTGATGAATGGCTATTATCCCGATTGGTCTGGAGGATACTTAGCTCCCGAGTCGATCGATTGGAGTAAATTTGACGTGGTCGATTTCGCTTTTGCTCTTCCCACTAGTTCTTTCGGACTCGAGTTCACTCAAGACGATTCATCCGATCTTCTTAGCAGACTTGTCACCGGTGCACACGCCAACGGCAAGAGAGTGAAACTTTCCATAGGAGGGTGGACCGGTTCCACCTATTTCTCAACAATCTGCGCTTCGGCGTCTAACCGTAGAACCTTCCTCTCCCACATTTTGGCGGCGTACAATGCGTACAACTTGGACGGAATCGATATTGATTGGGAATACCCGGGTACCTACGGTGCCAACGGTAACGCAGTCAGTAGCAGTGATTCGGCAAATTTTTTGACTTTCCTCACCGAGATGAGGGCCGCTCTTCCGGAGGGCGCTCTGATCTCACTAGCGACGCAAGTTTGGCCATTTGCCGGAAGCAATGGTAGTCCTATGTCAGATGTGAGCGGGTTTGCAGATGTTATCGATTGGATATTGGTCATGAACTATGATATTTGGGGATGTAAGTTTTCCTTGTTCTACTCGGACGTCCCACTCCCTACCCTCGCCCACAGGAGAAATGTGCACGGATCTGGGAACACAGACATCCATGTTGAGAGTTGGTGTTGATGAAGCAGCATCCAGTACCCCGGGCGCCAATGCACCCCTTTCCGACGCATGTGGAAACTCTTCTCAACCTCTTGCCAACGCCTACGCCGCTGTATCATCCTGGACCCAAGCCGGTATGCCAGCCAACAAGATAACCCTAGGAGTTCCAGCCTACGGATATCTACAAAAGTCAGAAGCGACCGGACTAAAAGATCGACGAAGTCAAATGGGTTTCGGGCGACCGGACAAGAAAGCTTCTCATGTGACTATCTATAACGACAACGGAGGTTCGACGGACGGGCAGGTCATGTTCGAATCTTTGATTTCTCAAGGAGCGTTAGCGCTCGATTCTGGGGAATATGTTGGTAGTGGAGGTTTTACGAGATACTGGGATTCATGTTCAAGTACGGTACGTCCCACCATCCTCTTTTCTCCCTCAAGACCTCCTTGATCAAAGTATAAAACTCATGAACAGCCTTGGCTCAAGTCAACAAAATCGGGTCAAATCATGACGTATGATGATCCTCAAAGTATGTCTCTCAAAGGTCAATTTGCAACTCAAGCAGGATTGAGGGGATGTAACGTCTTCTCCATGGACGGGGATTGGACGGGAAACGGATGGCCACTCACGGACGCCGTGCGCTCGGGTTTGGGGAAGTAAATGTAAGGGGAGTTGGTGATAAGCGGAATGGGGAAAGGTTGCATGCAAGACCGGCTGGGAATACAGACGGATGGGGTGGGGTACAGTATCAGGTGATTGGGAACATGGGATCAGGGTTATTTTATGCAGGAACCAGGGGAGTGAGTCATGATTTGCAGATGAACATTGATAGCTTGATAGGATAGCCGGTAGCTTTGCGAAAGGAGTTGTCCCACGAGGGATGATTTTTGTGATGGATAATTATCTTCCAACCTGCAAATAGGCACTCAAGATGCATGTCACTATAGCCTACAGGCCCTCACAGTCCCTCAGATACCAATCAGAGCCGCCCACTAAGTCTTGCTACAGACTACTAGTTAAATTATGGGATCGACTGAATCGGCTTGGCTTACTCAGACCGTCTATTCGGACTCACACCTGACGACCCAAGCTTGGGGAGCGAGCTCACTGAGGAGTTGTTGGAGGGGAGCTGGATGCGATGCCGCTGCGAATTGGACCAGCTGTGAGTTCTTGGCTGGATGGGTCGAATGTTGGTGATGCCTCATCAGTGATGATAATCCTTGGTATATCTGGTAATAAGCAACACATAGAAGGTTTCTTTTTCCTTGAGTCTCAAGCAAAGGGCAATTTACAGTCAGAGGGGTTGCCATCAAGCCAGCTTGGAAAGTGAGTAGGAGGACTCACCCATTGGGCACCCAGATTCCTCCAGATGCCCTGAACAAAGCCCCTGCCCCGTGTTGGAGTCAGTTGAGAGTATATCACTGCTCTCAGCCCGTGTTGTCAAAATCAAGAGGGAACACCTACACTTTGTCATTCTGTAACTGATTGGTTCTGGAGCCCCCCTGGGTTAGTTCAAGATACTCTTGCGCTGCCGCCTTGACTATCTGTGTGGCGGTTACTGAGTGACCATCTGTCAATTTGTCTTGGAGGATCTGCAAGGCTTTGGACTCTGGTGCGACTTTGGTAATGCAGAGTCTGCTGTGAGTGCTTAACCAAACAAATGTAAATGCCCGAATCCCGTCCAAGATCAAGTTGGCATCAGCTTTGGCCTGTTCTTTAGCCAAGTTTGTTGTTGACCTTATCTGGCTTTTGGTGCAGTCCCACTGGATAGACTCAGAGAGTCTTGTAGAAAGACATTGGTGCATTGCCTTGAGTCTGTGAAAGATATCCTTGAATTGTTCTACCTCAGACGTAGGAAGAATAAGTGGAAGCCCATCAGGATGATTTTTGCTGAAGGAGGCAGCAGCTTGGCACACAGTTTCATCTGACGCCAATTGCAGAGAATCTTTGAGCTGCTTGTGTTTCGAGAGCAGCTGGGCAAGATTGAATGCCATACCACATGCGTGGAATTGTCTTCTCTCAATTGAGGATTGGTCATCTTGGGAAGCTAAACACCTCCTCCTAAGTTCCTCCGCTTCACTCCACATCTGGCTGAAGGACTGAACAATGCCATTCTCGGGGGTGGTACATGCTTGAGATAATCCCTGAGCTGCACCTGGAAGCTGAAGCTGAAGCAATGACATGACAGAGAAGGAGAGCTGTTGGAAAATGGAAAGTTTATGATTCAGAGAGAAGTTGTGGTCAAGGAGATAGATATGGACAGAAACATAGTTTATGTATGTGGAAGGGGTTTGGAAACCGTGGGAAAAAGTGGTTGAATAGCGGAGATTCAAAGACGTATACTTGTCATCTCCTTTCAAGGAAAATTTCGAGTGCAATCTTCCATGAAAGGGCTGAAAAGTGGGCCAGACTTGCCTGGGGAGAGAATGTGAACATTGTTCTAGATCCGGCCGGACAGATCCTGGACCGTGCGTGAGATCTGGTCGTAAAAAGATCCGGGCTCCGGCTGCTGTTTTGTTAGTCTACGCTTTGTGTCAATGACCGGCGGTCTACAGGCTTGATACATGCTCTCTGGCTCACCAGATTGTGGCTTGTAACGCATAAGGATTACTGTCGGTTTCCGCATCTATAATAGGGTTCGTGATGAGAGAAGCAGAATCGTAGGAAGCAGCAGGGGGATTTTCCTGACGGGGAGAAGTGATGGCTGGGCTGTTCGTCGATGACGTATCATTCATTCACTGACGGCGTATTGTTCTTCGTTCGTGCTTCGTCCATTTTACGATACGTGTCTCTTAATGACTCCAGGGATCTTCGTACTTGTCCAATGTCATCCGAAAGTTCTGACAATGGTGTGGCAACTAAACATCAGCCAATCATCTCTGGTAGCTTGCTATCTGACTCACATTGCTCCTGGAGTTCCTCTCTGATGTCATCCTTGCTAGGTATTGCCCTTTGCTCAACTTGAAGATCGTGGATATCACCTCGAAGCTCCTCTGCAATGTCTTTGAGATCCGAGTTCTCCTGGCGGAGCCGACCAACCTCGTCGAGGAGATGATCAAGTTTCTGACTTAGAACGATGTTTGTCTCACGGAGATCTTTGACTTCATTTCGGAAGGCGCGGTTATCGTCTTGAATAGACTCTTGTCCCTCACGCAGTGCTTGCTGACCCTCGGAGAGAGTTCGGTTTTCTCCACGCAGCGCTTCAAGTCCCCGCAATGAATCGCGATGTTGGATGACCCTGTTTTCTTCTTGGGCTGAGAGTCAACATGTATCCAATAGCAGTCAAGCTCGCGCTTCTTCCTCCCAAGTACTCGGTGCCCAGCCGTGACCGAGAGCACAGCCGAAACGGTGTGGAGGGGCGTGGTGTGAAGCGGCGCGGTGTAAAGGGACTGAGAAAGTGGACTTACCCTCGAGGAACACCATGATCTGCTCTCCGCACTTCTGTCCCCCGCTCTCCACTCCTGAACGAGATAGCAGTCCTTGGCTTCGCCCAGACCCAGGACGGTAGGAGTCGACGACATGTCTCCCGGATACGCTTTCCAACAGACTGGGGGAGGGGTCAGGAGGTTGATAGACCGGGACACTAATCATCGAAGTTGTGGATGCGGGAATGTGAGGGATGGTAGCAGGGCGTGGACGGGGTTGAGAGGAGGGGGAAGCCCAGATCGAGCGGCGAGAGAGGAGCGTATTGTTCCTATGGATGGAGTCGGGAGGGAGGGCGTAGCTTGGGAAGAACGTGAAGCGCGCTGAGATGGTGGAGCAGGACGGGAAGGGAGAGCTCGCTGAGTAGGAGGAGGAGGCATATCGGAACCACGGGCTTGAGTGTACATGACTAGAGTGAAGGAAGAGATATGCACCCGGCTGCACGGTCGTAAAGGGATTGTGATTGACGATATAAGTTGATGAGAGGGAAAGAAAGTGATGAGAAGGGTGAGAAGGGGGTGACCGAAGGAGGACGTGGAACGGAGAGAAAGAGATAGAGAGAGCAGCGGGATGAAGAAAGAGAAAGAAGAGGAGGGAATCAACGATTTATATGTGGTGCGTGGGGTAGAAAGAAGGAGGCCCGTGTGCAGGTGACTTCATCCCCACTCCCCATGGAATCCGACGAGGGTCTGTGCATCCTCTCTTCTCACCCCTCACATTCCGACTGAGGTTCTCATTTTCACTAGCGTGGTGCAAAGTCGAAATGACGCAAAGATGAGGGGATGGAGATTGGCACAGAGCTGCAGACTGGAACAAATACCAGACAGAAAGATGGTAATATAGATACCACTATGTGAGCTAGACAGGTGAGATGACAAAAGGGAGCATGTAACGAGCAGCTCAAAATTTAGTTTGGAGAAGAGGAAAGTTTGGAAGAGATGACAGTAAGGGGGATTCCCTTTTGGAAGGAGAAAATGACATTACGAGGATTCTCGACTTGCTTCTGTCCCGTGTTCAGTGACATGAATGAAATAAACCCAAGAGGTGCTGATATCAGTTATTTACCCTCTTCAAGTTTTTCCTCAGGATTCAAGAACATGGGCCAATTGTTTCTCTAAAACTAAACGATGTAACAAGTAAAGTTTTGCTTAGGTTGATGGAAGTCGCAAGTGAAAAATCATCGGACATGAGGAGGAAGCATGGTGATTTGGAGAATGAGAATGAAGATACGATCTGAAGGGATATCAAAGACGAAGAAAAAAGCGGTGCAAGACAGGTAAGTTTCTTTTCTGTTACGAAACAACAGAGCTTTTGAGAACAAAATAAGTAAAATTTGAAAGCTTAAAAGAATTTGTTGATAATCTAGTCAAAATCTCATCATGTCTAACCTCTTCCCCTACAATTTTGATCTTTCATCATTTACCTAAACTCCCGCTTCAATCATTCAGATAAACTCCCGCTTGATCAACTCGACTATTTACTTGAAGTCCCGATTGAGGAATCCAATCTCTGTATTTATCAACCTGAAAATGAGAAGAATAATAACGAGGTCAGAGATGAAGAGCTTGACCATGTTGTCCCCATCGGACGATCATCAGTCATTCGATATCTACACCCGTCCCACATCCCACGTGAATCTTCAAAGACAGCTCCACCCCCACCGTCATGTTGCCGGGGGGGAAAAAGGTCCACGATCCAAAGTCATGCAGAATCCGACCCATACCTGTCAACAGTCGAGAGTGGACGTTTTGGATTTGCCCCAACGGCATCATCATCATCATCATCATCATCATCATCATCATCATCATCATCTGATCCAATTTCGAAATCCACCCAACGTCCAAGATCGATCACCATCCTGAGATGACGTGGGGAGAAGAATGTCATATTTCCTTTTCGATAGAATTGTGATGGGAGATTGAAAAATGTTTTCGTCCTATCTCTGGACTTGTGGAAAAGATTCAAGAAAGATTAACAAGTGTGAGTAAGTTACTCTAGCAGTATGGTAGGGGGGAGAAGGGGAAAATCATGTTGGAATTCTTTTCCGCGTGTGTATATGCATATATATATATCATGCTGAATCAGCAGTCAAAGCGACTGACTGATCCCTCCGAGACTGAGTATGAGTGTTTACATCAGTGATCGTTGTAAGGGAATGATCATTTGGTTGACTTGGTGCATTGATGTCGGTGTGGAAAAGAGGAAGAGGACATGATTAATACAGTGGTAATGAGTCTCCTCGTGAAATTACATGTACGTTTCTGATCGTCAGCTATTTAAACAAAAGCTATCTATCCTCTTTCAGTGTATCTGCCTGATAAGTATCTATCACCATTCAGTGTATCTGTCAGGTAAATCTCTATATTCCTGTCGTGTAATTTGCTGGGGTTTGACAAAAGGGCTGAGAATACATATCTAAAAATTGCCGTCCCGGATCCCGACAGTTTGTCACATGATTCCTTTCAAGTACTTGAAAAATCAAGACAGGCCTACTTGGAGGGATCTTGTCACTTGGCTTGTAGGATACTGTCACTCAGTCCTGAAATATCCTGTCAGTCAGATTGTCATGTCTCAATGTATGAATGAGCAGAAGACTTGTATTTAGTGGGAATTTTGCTTTTGCGTGGGGTTGTTTGTGTGGTCTGAAATGAGGGTTGACAGCCACATGAATTGATTGATCCTCGCAAGGTGTTCATTGAAACCGATACGTTGAGGGTGGGGATGAGTGTATCAGGGATCTACAAGTAAGCCCGAGGGAGGTCCGATTACGTCTTGAATATTATAGTCGAGTTGTCGATGGTGATAACTTGTGACATGATGGAGAAAGAGACTTTTGTCGAGAAAGTTAGAATGAGACAAGGATCAAACGACCTTTGCTGGTTAGACATATATATTCAGAGGTTTCAGTTGGACGGATTCATTCTATGATGACTATAAATATGATGGCCTGAAAATAGAACACAAAATAAAAAAAGTTTTACTTACATGGGGTCCTCTGGTAAAGGTGATCGATCATTCCTCACCATCTATGAATGATCCTCTACATTGTTTCTTGCGAGTGAGAAATCTCACAAGGAAAGATGTACAGTATGATACTTGAAGATGGATTTTGTAACATGATCGAGTATATGATGATGGCGTGATTATCAGTGTTAATTTTCAGAATGGAATTATATGACAGGAGATTTTAACTTGATCAATGTCCATACATAAGTAACACTACATTCATTTCCGAATATACTATCATGATGTAATAAACAATCAGTAATTTCACACTGATAAAATCATGAAGATCAGACTCACTCAAGATTATCCGATCAAATCCATGAAGAATCATTAGATCAGAGACCTATGAGTGACGATGACCAAATGTCACACTTAGGAGACAATACAAATCGATCGATAGAGTTTGGTAGAAATTCAAGTCAGGCGGGTTGGTGTGAGTGTGGGATATGCCTATCGGATATCGATTCATTCGGGGCGGAACAATGTATGGGTGTAAGCAACATTAACCTCCTCGTGTTTTGGTCCAGAGCAGAGTCCTCCAATCATGTGACAATGGTTTGGAGTATACGTGGATTGTTGTTGGGTGATGGGATAGTCTTTACAATGGACCAAGGGAAAGAATATGAAAGAGGGAGGTTGTGTACGATAGGGCAGTACTGACAAGCGTTTCTTTTCTTTTTTGGCGTTTTTTGAGTGCGAACCCACCCCTAAAACTTTCATTCACAGAGGAACATGTTGATGATATTCAACAAGGAGAGAGAGGGGAAAACGGACAGGGTTTACGGGGTGGAACAATGCTTCATCGAATTGGTCTTGATGATTGACATGAGTTGTAATCACATCGACATGGGTTGTAATCACCAGTTCTAGAAAGTACCGTCTTGACGTATGATCCGTGATAGAGAGTATATCTTTCAGATAGTTATTGATGGTGGAGGGTGAGATGAGGTGTTTAGTTTGATAAGGAGTCGAAATCTTTTGATCAGTGTTGGGTTGTGACATGAGAGAAGACATAGTAAAGCATCAAGTATGAAGAACTATCCGGTCTTGGATCGTGGACCATGAAGACTCACTTGTAAATATCACATCAAGTACTCCATTGATCTCACTCCAGTGTTGGCCAACTTATCCCTGGTCTGCAGCATAGAATAAAACCAGTGGAAATCATGTCATGTCGATAGACTTGCAGATTGAATTTTGAAGATCGGTGTGTCACAATCGTCGTTTCTTCTTCTCTACTGACCGACGGTCGACAAACCTCGGCTAACTACGTCGTAGTGGGGCGTCGATGTCTCACTAGGTCAGGGTACTCGTCGAGGAGCTACGGCTAACTTTGCCGTAGTGATACGTCGAGTGGTAAATGATAAGATGATCGTCGATGAACTGCGGCTAACTTCGCCGTAGTGCGTCGAACTGCTCGGTGGTAGCTCTCCCTAACTTGACGGTTGTAGCCACTGAATATATCTCTCGCTACTGACAACAATCAAGGATCGCTGAAGAAGTTCAGCGATCTGTAAACTATCTATACTGCTCCTCTCTTCTCATAGAACGTCCCTTAACTCTCGCACTGCCCCACGCTCAGTCCTCTTCGTTCAACTTCGCGGTACCTCGCCATATCCCCGATGCCCTACTCCGCTCACTTCGACTAACTTCACCTAACTTCCCCTGTTCTGCTCTCCCTCGGTTCCCTTCCCCTAACTTCACCGTAGTTCTCCGCTAAGGCGGGGTTATCGTGACAAATACCCTCTTGGTTCTCGTAACTTCGCCGTAGTCGGTCTCAGTGGTTCGGGTGGTAGTTGGTGATGGTGAAAGGAGGGTCGGTGATGGTGGTTGTCAGGGATGTTACGATGTGGTTCGTGACACGGTGATTGATTTGAGAGCCTTAAACTTTCAATTGATTACCTTACCTCTTTCTGCTGTCAGCTTATATCTTGGAACTATATCTCAACTTTTTCAACCACCAAAGTTGAGAGATGCCAGAGATTAGAGTACGGTCGGTGTAGGTGACAACAATGCGCGCCTGCATGGAAGTGGAAGCTTGACGTACCAAAGTGCATCAATGGACTTACCACAATGGACGATTAGATTCTTCCAAATAACATCCTAGATGGGCGATGAATGTGTTGTGCATCAAGTAATTTGGAAATGCTTGTAAAGGGAAATACACTCTGTAGGGAGTACCCCACCACCGGGGATGATGACATCTCTCAAAGAGCCCGAAATCGTCGTCATTACCAATTTGCCAACCGTATATCCCTGCGAACGATATTTTTACTACCGGCTGTGAGTCAGCATGAGATACTGTAGATCTCATATGATGGGACTCACCCCTATGTGCAGCATTCACGGAAACAATGACATCAAACAATTCGGCAATCAGATATCCTACAAGGGTCGACGTCAGCATTCCCTCATACTAGCAAGCTCAATCACTCACCCATGTGCACCCCGGCCTGTTGTTTGATTGTCGTGGCGAGGCGCCTGTTGTTCACTTTATATAGACTTCGCGACGGGGACTTGCGGGTGTGAGTAGTTAAATGATATCCTGAGAGAATACACATGCCCTTGTCTTATGTACCGAGGGGGAGGGAAGAGGAGAGGAATGAGGAAGAAGAAGAAGAAGAAGAAGAAGAAGAAGAAGAAACTCACTCAAGACAAAACGAGGGAAGACCATCTCTTGCCCCTCCAGAAGTCACCTCACAGGTGCTAGGTGCACGTACACCAGAGGGTCCGCGTTCTCCGGCCGTTACAACATCGTCCCTCCGTGCTCCAGTGGGCGAGTGAGTGCAACCATGAAGCCGACTAAATCTGAGGCGTGCTCAACGAGTCGCATCCCACCCTATGCTGACCCATACAACCAGAGGTGAAGAGAAGCGAAGTCTTTGATGAAAATTCCCAACAAAGGACACTTGTGGTCTCTGTGCGAGTATCACATTCACTTGGTGAGAGTGAATAGGTGGGATGCTTCAACACTCAAAGCTCACGTGAGCGTCAGAGAAACCATCACACTTATGTGGCCTACTCAATTCATCCATTATATCGGGTATGTTGTCAGGACGAACAATCTGGAGGTCAGTCCCGTTTGGGGATATGTACGGCAAGAGAAGTGTCTAAGCTGAGTCAGGGTATGTGAGAGGAGACATTTTGACAAAATGTATATGTAGCACGGAGAGTGGAGGGAGGAAGGGGAGAAGAGAGGAGCCGGGGGAGGGAAGAACGTATGGACGGTTGCATGATCGCAAGAACATGGTGATGAGCCGTTTGAATTAGAGCAGAGTGCAAAAGGAAAGAGGGGAGACTGAGATGGGAAATTTCCTTGACCCAAAACAAAAAGTGATAGGAAAAACTCACCAAAGTCCATGGACCTACACAAATTGTGTGGGAAGATCATTGGAAACATGAGGCAGAGACCAGACTTCTTATGCGCTTTTGGTCAGTCCATGTAACTCTCTCCGTATGTGATCAAAGGGGCTCTAGATCTTTTCAGTTCACTTACTTTCTTGGTAGAGAAGCAATGTGACTCTGGTAGATGGACATCGTCACTTCAAATGTCTTTTACGATACCGTACAATTTCTGGGATGTTTGTTCGAGCCGGGGTCAATAGAATAAAGTTTATCAATCATAAGGTGGCGGAGACAAGGCAAAAAGCGGGTAACTCTGTCTGAGTGGACATGACAGAACGCGGGGATAGAATGTAGGAAGTGATATCCCATTGCTATGTGATGGAGCCAGAAGGTGGGTGACACGAGAGTTTGGTGTGAGGAAGAAATGAGCTTGTACATGATGTTTTCAAGTGAGACATCGCTCCTGAGAATAACGGAGAAAGTGAAAAGCAGGTGACCGTGGGAAGTAAGATACATGAAGTACCCACATCTGAAATTTCCTTGTTGTCTTTAGTAGCCTGTATCACATAAGATTTCAATTCCATCATATCCGTTTCATCTGCTCTATCTTTTCCTTTGTACAGATCTGTTCCAGATGATGACTTTATCATTGCGTCTTCCGATTGGATGGGACTCTTCGAATGATTTTCGCTTGTAATCGACCGATCTGATTGGTATTGATATTTTATTGCAAGAACGGAATGATGCAATGGTCTTATACTCTCAACAGAAGGATCGACTCGTTTCATCTCTATGATCAGTTTTGAGCCTCTTGTTGTATGAGAGAGTATCGTCGTCATGATGCGGCAGAAAGAGAATAGGAAGGAAGAGGGAAATATGGTGAATAGTTACAGCAGCGCAAACAATTTTCAAGTGGCAGGGTCAGCGAAACAAGTAATGACTCAGAAGATCAAGTGTCGGGGGTGAGGAGGACGAGCAGGAAGACCAGACATCAAAACAACAGGATGAGCGGCAGAGGAAGCAGTCGTACAATCAAGCAGGAACATAGTCAGAAGAGCAAGTGGCAGAATGGATTAGAAAATAACGAGTAGCAATGCAAGGATAAAAAGACAAAGAGCACCATACTTGACTTACCGGATTGTTTCTCCATATATCTAATTGCCTCAGTGACCAGCCTCTTGCAACAATCCATTCAATCGAGAAAGAATCACATGTTTCCCAGCCAGAGTGATGCACCCCCCTCCAGAATTGTAACGGTACTGGAAACACGACGACTAGGTCGCAGGTTGGGTCGAACTCGATGGAGGTCTCGTGGAAGTCTAGGGGCTCTGGTGCTAATGGATCGTGTCTCCTCTGCAATCGATGTAGCCAAAGAATGATATTGAAGAATCAGCAAAGTTGGTACTTTGCTGATTGTACTATATACTGTCTACAGGTATCCGTCTCCTCTTCTCAGTCCTACTGCAAGCGTCCATGTACATACTCGGACAGGTGAAAAACCGCTTTGAGCAAACCCAGTGGGGAAAATCTCGAAAGGGGAAAACCCGTCCCTACCTACTGCAGCACTGCCTCCAACTCCCGCTTTCCTCTGTCCTAATCCGTCGAACTCGATAGAGTTCCCTCGATTCGTTGTTACCCCGTAACAAGTTTCCCCCCCTGTCTCAAGGATCCTCGCCGAGGATCCTGAACCCTGTAACCAGGTGATGCACATGGATTGTTCTTAGACACCTTTGGTGCGCCCTGACATCATACCCACGCTAGTGTGATGGTTGCCATGAAAACGCGTCACCCGCACGGACCTCCAATGTGATCGAGAAATTACTGACCAAGTTACCTCCCCGTCTTCTTTCTCTTCTTTCCTCCTCATTCTCTCTTTACCTCTTGTTTGTCATTCTTTTTACTCATCTATCATTATCCATCCATATCTTACTCATATCTTAGAGCATCCTTCCAACTCTGACCTGTCTGTGAGCATGTCTAAGCGTACTGTAAGCAATTCTCTTCGAATTCGATGCACTTCCTCCTGTTTATCACTGGCTGACGAGATTAGTTGTCCTCGTCTATCTCTTCTCGTCAAACTCGGGCCTCTACTGTGGCCATTCTCCCCGACGTCGATCCCGAACTTCTCATGCGTCAAACGAAAAGAATGAGAATTACTTCCCAAGCGCCAGTTCCCTCTCAAACTCCATTGGTTGACGCTTCTCGAAGGGCTCTCGACACCATTAAGGATCGATATCAATCCGGCCCTTCTCGCGACCAACAATCGTCTCTTCTCGATGACGAGGTCATCGAGCAATATATCGACTTCGAAGCGGGGGCAGGGCCATCTACCACTGGTGAGAACCCATCTCCTGCGAAATCTGTCGAGTCCGAACACGGTACCATCGTTGAAAATCAAAATTCTCCTGGTAATAAGTCCCCTGTGCCACCTTCTGATTCCGAGGGGCTTGTCGAGGTTCCCCATGAACTCGAAACCATTTTTCACGCCCCTCGCAAGGTTCCGGTCAATGATGAACTTGCTAAGGCTCTGGATGCTCGAAAAGACTCAGAAATTGGTGAGATTTCTACAGAATTCTGTGCGTTTCTGACTCGTCAGCTACCCTCTGGGCCCGCCTTTCTTTCTCCTCTGTTCGTCACGCTCTGAAGGATGAAGCCCTCGATCGCTTTCGCGAGACTGGGGCCATCAAGCCCACTGTCAAGTGGTTTGGTAACGCCGTGAGCTTTTTTCTCCTTCGTATTCCACCGAATTCTAACTGTTAGCTTGATCGCTTGGCCCAAGGTTGGCGACTTCGTAACAAGAATGGCGCTGTTGTCCGTCTCGAGGGTGAGCTTTGCTCCGATTGCCAGCGTCGTCTCGATGGTGGAGAAGATTTTCGTGTAGGTTGTATCGGTCCTCGTGAGTCTTCCTACTCTTCCTGTTCGATATTGATGCAACTTAGTTGGTGGTGTTTGTGGAGAGTGCTCCGCGAAGGGAACTTCAAAGTGTTCGGTGAAAACCAACAATCCCGAGTCCAAATTTCGCGAGGTATCTATCTTCTTCCTTCGAACTTGGTCGATGTTGATGTAAAGGGTATTACTGTCGGAGCCCAGACTGTTACTTCCAAGGTTACCTTCGTCCTGGAGCACGAACTCTGTGCTGTCTCGGCCCGATATCGATCCCTTTCCTCCCAGGATCAATCCTCTTCTCTCACCCAACTCTCCGCTTACATTCACCTCTTTTCCTCTCTCCTTCTTCCTCTTCCCCCAGTACATCTGGGCCTCTACAAATCTCTTCATCTCATTCCTTCCAACTACACCCCTCCCTCTCCTTCTGAAACCTTGGATCATCTCACCTCTGCTGCTGATCCAACCGGATTGACTTCTTCTCAACCAGTCGCCGGTCCCTCCTCTTCTCCCCATACTCCTCTCCCCCGCAATGTCATTCGTATTCCCGCCTCGGTCCGTCGTCCCCGAGCCAATTCTACCACCTCCAACTTCTAGTGTATTTTATATCTCTCTATACGTAGCCATATTTCCTGTGTATGTATTTATTTCCCAATAAATTCCGTTGATTTTGATCGAATTCTCACTTTCTTCTGGGATCTTTTTTCCTCTTTTCCAGAAATTCACCAAAAACGGCCAACTCTTCTACATTTTCTCGTGGTTCCCAGTCATAGGCCGCATTCCCTGTGTATCCTAACCATTTTACCTTGAATTCCTCCTTTCCTCGTCGAATTCTACTGTCCACAATTGCTTCCACATGGAATTCCTCCTGGCCGTTTATTACTACAGGTGGTGGGGGTTGTATCTGTCGACCTGGTATCATGTCTCTAGGATATGGTTCCAACAACGTGACATTGAAGACATTGTGCACTCTCATTGATGGAGGTAGATCTAATTCGAAAGCATTTTTCCCCACTCTCCTTATGATCTTGAAGGGGCCAACGTATTTTGCTTCTAATTTTCGACTGGGTCTTTCCGTCGTAAGATACTTCGTACTCAGTAGTACCTGTTCTCCCTCTCTGAATTCTTCTGGTACACTCTTGTGTCTCCTGTTGTAGTATTCGGCACTAATCTCATTAGCCATCCTGACCTGTTCTTGAACAGCCGCATGTAACTCTCCCATATCCCTCCATTTCCTCTCCAACTTGTTTGACTTTGATCGAATATCGTGCGAATGGATGTCGTAGTGTGGCACATAGCCGTAACAGGCTTCAAAGGGACACAGACCGTGGCTACTATGTGGCGAACAGTTATAAGCGAACTCAGCAATTGGTAGAAGTTGATCCCAATTGTCCATGTTGTAGTTTACATACATTCCGAGCAGGATTTCCATCTGTTGATTTACTCGCTCAGTTTGTCCATCTGTTTGAGGGTGATACGCAGTCGAGTATAAGTTCTTTATTCCCAAGAACTGACATATTTCCTTCCAAATTTCCGCCGTAAACTGAGTTCCCCTATCTGACACAATTGTTCGAGGTACTCCATGTTTTGAAAAGATCTCCTTGATGTAGATGTCGGCCACTTTGTTCGCTGTTAGTCCAGTTGTACATGGAATAAATCTAGCCATCTTGGTTAGTCGATCGACTATCACCAGTATCGCGTCGAACTCGGTCGATTTTGGTAGGGGTCCCACCATATCCATAGAGATATCTGTCCAGGGCAGTGTGGGTACTGGTAAAGAGACCAGATGTCCATACGGCTGGTGTCG